GAATTTTTTTCTCAAAGTACGCATTACGCTAAGCTACTTGCAAGACTTCAGAGATTTTCGTCCAAAAAAAAATTAAGCTGCATGACAACTAACCTCGAGGATCTGCTTCGACCAGCGTAATTTCCTCCTTCACCGGGAACTTGCAAGCTTGACATGACTACAAGTACAACAGCCGAGAAAATTTAATGTGGTTATCGGAGTGAACGACATCCAATCATCTTCGAAGTACGGCAATTTCAATCTCAAATCCAACTGTATTTCTGCGTTTTCTCCAGGCCGTCAAACTAAGTGATCCTGCATTGTCGATGTGACCTTTCATCAGGGACGGACGGTGTATCCATAGTAACGGCTAACGACAGCTGAAAAATCACTTCCGGCGAACGTCCGTGACACCCAAAGTCATCGATGCTTAAGGTCCCTAATAGCCGAGAGCGACTCTAGCTTCTTAAGTGCTTAGCAACCTCCTACGTGCATCCATAACTCAAATAGTGTACGCTGCGGTGTTCACCATTTGTTAATTTCTGGCAAGCTTAACTGAAATTTAGGATCCTTTGTAGAGTACAATTATTCCTATGTTTGATGGGGAATATCAAATCATCCCCTTCTTGCCCAGATTTACCCGAATCAAACATTTTGATTCAACAAACAATCTTGAGCTACCAAAACTAAAGCTTGGACATACTCTGCCCAGTAAGACAACCATCAAAAAGGTGAGAACAAACCTAAACAAAATGAGAATGGTAATTGTTGGGAGGCTAACCATATCCTTTACAAAGGATAACCAAAAAATAAAACTTGAAGTATCCATAATAATTTGTTTTAAGCTTAACAAATGTCATGTTTGTCATTTGGGTTAGATCCATTTCTGACACCAAACCTTTCATATGCAGAACTTAACACAAAATTTGGAATAAACCAAATAAACAAAAATATGCTTTTTGATTCAGGTGCTGATCTTAATTAGCCAATCTATAACTGTTTCTAATTCTTTTAAATAAGTTCTGCAGTTGTTTCAGGAAAAAAATATTCACAAAAGTAAATGTACAGAGACTGTACAAGTTGTGCACATGATAAATTCAGTAAACAAATAAAAGATGTTCACAAATTAAAAAAAATCAAAAATCATTATGGTAACCAATACCTTGATAAACAGCTGTGATCATTTTAACTACATCATTTCTCCTTATATCTTTTAATGCTGCTATTAAATCCTCCAAAGTTTTATCCTCTCTTTCAATCACCAGGAGGTCAATAAGTGTGCGAGTACAACTGCCCCTACTGACTAGTTTACACCTGAGGCGAGTCTCCAGAGGCGCATTCACTTGTTGTGTGCAAGCCAGATATTCCCAGCCATGTATGCATCGATGCGGTGTGTAGTCAAGTTTGCGCATTAACATGTCCTCAAGAAATTTATTTTCTTGTATTTCATTTGAAACTATTGACAAGAGAATGAAATGAAGAAAATGTTAAAATATGACATGACCACCAAACATAACTGTCATGAGCTTGCAGTGTTATATAAACATAACCTTTCTTACAATTATTGATTTGATTAGACCCATCAAAGCCTTATAACTCTTAACCTTTTAACTCCCAAAATCTAAATCTAAATTCTCTGTACTGTTCCATATAGGTTGCCTATGATTTCAGTTCTGAGACTTTGCTGTTAAATCAACAATAGCCCCACACCAATATTTTTCCTTCTTCACATTACTTTCTACCCCACTTGCTCAAAAGGTGGGTAACACTATTTGCTGAATATATCTCTATCAGGTAGATAGTACATTTTTTTAATGCTTGTCGAATGGATAATGATTTATAGTCAGATAACATTACCTGCCCTTTGCACAACAGGCCCTGCTTGAAAATTTATGGATACTGTGATTCACTGTCTGTGACATAAAATATTTTGTCTTGTGGGTTGGGTGAACATGCGGAATGCATGAAAATATAAATAGAAGAAAGAGTGGTGCTAAGTTTTAAAACTACCCATAAATGTTTTCCTTCATAAAACTGTGTATTGCATGAGAGGTTTCAGAAATAAAAATACAGTTTACATCTTTGACCCAAAAAGTGATTATCATCTAATTTCTCCTTACAATATCACCCTCTGGTCAACCATTTAGGTCATGAGAATAAAGGAAATGATCACCAACTAAAGAAGCTCCTGATCATTAAACAAATTCTCCATGTCTGCACCTTTGGAAATGTACAGAGGATAGTATAGAGAATATACATACTGGTATTAGGGTGTAAACTGGGGTTACTTGATAATTTATCATACCAATAAAAGAAGCAATTAAATTAGTCTGGGTATATTTGTATATCACTTACCAAAAAATTGTTCATATCTATTGCCTTGTGGAGTTGTTTCTTCATTTCTGAGTTCCTCTTCTCCTTCAGGTCCTCTGTTCTGAGTGGGATCCGCAGTTTCTGTTTCTTGACTCTCTTCTTGGATTGGAGGGGTTGTTAGACTTGGTAAGCTGTTGTCACCTTGAGCTACATCTCCTTCAGGAAGGTTTTCAGGTTGACAAAGGGCCCCATCATCACCACCAACATTTGTGCTGCCTGCAGCAGCAATACCAGTTACACTACCAGAAGGAGTTGCATTAGCATCACCAGCAGTACCAGTAGCAGCACCACCACCAGTCACACTACCAGAAGAAGCAGCAGCAGCAGCATCAGCAACAAGACCACTATCAGTCACAGTACCAGAAGAAGCAGCAGCAGCAGCAGCAACAAGACCACTATCAGTCACACTACCAGAAGAAGCAGCAGCAGCAGCANTACTCTGCCCAGTAAGACAACCATCAAAAAGGTGAGAACAAACCTAAACAAAATGAGAATGGTAATTGTTGGGAGGCTAACCATATCCTTTACAAAGGATAACCAAAAAATAAAACTTGAAGTATCCATAATAATTTGTTTTAAGCTTAACAAATGTCATGTTTGTCATTTGGGTTAGATCCATTTCTGACACCAAACCTTTCATATGCAGAACTTAACACAAAATTTGGAATAAACCAAATAAACAAAAATATGCTTTTTGATTCAGGTGCTGATCTTAATTAGCCAATCTATAACTGTTTCTAATTCTTTTAAATAAGTTCTGCAGTTGTTTCAGGAAAAAAATATTCACAAAAGTAAATGTACAGAGACTGTACAAGTTGTGCACATGATAAATTCAGTAAACAAATAAAAGATGTTCACAAATTAAAAAAAATCAAAAATCATTATGGTAACCAATACCTTGATAAACAGCTGTGATCATTTTAACTACATCATTTCTCCTTATATCTTTTAATGCTGCTATTAAATCCTCCAAAGTTTTATCCTCTCTTTCAATCACCAGGAGGTCAATAAGTGTGCGAGTACAACTGCCCCTACTGACTAGTTTACACCTGAGGCGAGTCTCCAGAGGCGCATTCACTTGTTGTGTGCAAGCCAGATATTCCCAGCCATGTATGCATCGATGCGGTGTGTAGTCAAGTTTGCGCATTAACATGTCCTCAAGAAATTTATTTTCTTGTATTTCATTTGAAACTATTGACAAGAGAATGAAATGAAGAAAATGTTAAAATATGACATGACCACCAAACATAACTGTCATGAGCTTGCAGTGTTATATAAACATAACCTTTCTTACAATTATTGATTTGATTAGACCCATCAAAGCCTTATAACTCTTAACCTTTTAACTCCCAAAATCTAAATCTAAATTCTCTGTACTGTTCCATATAGGTTGCCTATGATTTCAGTTCTGAGACTTTGCTGTTAAATCAACAATAGCCCCACACCAATATTTTTCCTTCTTCACATTACTTTCTACCCCACTTGCTCAAAAGGTGGGTAACACTATTTGCTGAATATATCTCTATCAGGTAGATAGTACATTTTTTTAATGCTTGTCGAATGGATAATGATTTATAGTCAGATAACATTACCTGCCCTTTGCACAACAGGCCCTGCTTGAAAATTTATGGATACTGTGATTCACTGTCTGTGACATAAAATATTTTGTCTTGTGGGTTGGGTGAACATGCGGAATGCATGAAAATATAAATAGAAGAAAGAGTGGTGCTAAGTTTTAAAACTACCCATAAATGTTTTCCTTCATAAAACTGTGTATTGCATGAGAGGTTTCAGAAATAAAAATACAGTTTACATCTTTGACCCAAAAAGTGATTATCATCTAATTTCTCCTTACAATATCACCCTCTGGTCAACCATTTAGGTCATGAGAATAAAGGAAATGATCACCAACTAAAGAAGCTCCTGATCATTAAACAAATTCTCCATGTCTGCACCTTTGGAAATGTACAGAGGATAGTATAGAGAATATACATACTGGTATTAGGGTGTAAACTGGGGTTACTTGATAATTTATCATACCAATAAAAGAAGCAATTAAATTAGTCTGGGTATATTTGTATATCACTTACCAAAAAATTGTTCATATCTATTGCCTTGTGGAGTTGTTTCTTCATTTCTGAGTTCCTCTTCTCCTTCAGGTCCTCTGTTCTGAGTGGGATCCGCAGTTTCTGTTTCTTGACTCTCTTCTTGGATTGGAGGGGTTGTTAGACTTGGTAAGCTGTTGTCACCTTGAGCTACATCTCCTTCAGGAAGGTTTTCAGGTTGACAAAGGGCCCCATCATCACCACCAACATTTGTGCTGCCTGCAGCAGCAATACCAGTTACACTACCAGAAGGAGTTGCATTAGCATCACCAGCAGTACCAGTAGCAGCACCACCACCAGTCACACTACCAGAAGAAGCAGCAGCAGCAGCATCAGCAACAAGACCACTATCAGTCACACTACCAGAAGAAGCAGCAGCAGCAGCAGCATCAGCAACAAGACCACTATCAGTCACACTACCAGAAGAAGCAGCAGCAGGACCACCACCAGTTACACTTCCAGAAGAAGTAGCACTAGTATTATCAGCAGAACCACCATCACCATCCCCAGTCATGCCACCATAAGAAGTATCACAAGCAGCATCAGCAACAAGACCAACACTACCAGTTACAACACCAGGAGAGGTATCACCAGCAGCATTGGTGATACCCCCAATACCAGTTACATAAACAGAAGAAGCAGTACTAGCAGCATAGGCAGCAGTACCACCACAACCAGATAACCTTCCAGAAGAAGTAGTAGTAGCAGCCGTACCACCACCAGTGGCATAACCAGAAGAAGCAGTGCTAGTGGCATAGGCAGCAGTACCACCACCACCAGATACACCACAAGAAGAAGTAGCAGCAGTAGCACCACTGGCAATTGGCTTTAGGTTATCAGGTACAGCATCAATGAGAGTTTCTGCAGAAGGATTAATCTCTTGGTTTTCAAGATCTGCATGACCTGCCTCTGTTATGGAAGCTTCTCCTTTCCTGGATCTTTCAAAGCTTAAGTCTGTAGTACTGGGTCCTTCAGATGCATAACTAAAGTCACGATCTAATGAATTTGGATCAGACCGCCCAGTTGAATCTAAACTGGCTGGAGCTTCTTCAACATTCCCATCTTTTCTTCCACTAGAGGACATTTGATCTGACCATGACAACTGGGAACTGCCTTTGCTCCAACCCTGTCCATTTTCTGCACCAGCTGGTAAAGTTTGTCTCTTGTTTCCTTGGTCAGGTCTTTTGGTGGATAGAGGGCCATTCTCTAGATTGAGTGCTTCTTTCACTGTCTTCTCATTTTGGTCCTCTGAGTTCTGTACAACTTCCTTCCCATCCCTTTCTCCTTCCAAGAGATCAAATAATTACATTGGCTTTGTGCCTAGTCAAACCTAAAAATTTTCACTAAAGGGGTGTCTTTTTTCCACTCCACTACAAAAAAAAAAAACACAATCCATAACATTTGGCACTACTGAAGTAGCTGAGGCATGATCCACATGCTTTAACCCTTTACACCCTCAGATCAGTTTGCATATTCTCCCTACTGTTCTCTTTACATTTCCTAAGATACTGACAAGGAGAATTTGCATAACAATCGAGAGTTTCTAAAAATGCTGATCATTTCCTTTATTCTCATGACCTTCATGTTTGATTCAGGGGTGTTACTGTAAGGAGAAATTAGATGCTAGTCACTCTTAGGGGTTTAGGGATTAAAGATTACAAAAACAACCATTGATCTACATGTAGAGATGATAAACTCTTGGATTACCAATTAACCACCATAATATAAGCCACTGTAGGAGATTATTTGAAACACATTCCCGTACTTAAGGAGTGAATGCTATCTGGGGTGTTAAGGGCGTAACAAATATAATATTTGTTAACAGATACAAACGGTATCAATGGTATTCAGAAATGTCAATTGATAATGTCTGATGCAAACCTTACATGAAGCATTGTCATGTGACAACCTAGATCCTTATAAAGCATGATGAGATCTTCTGGTATATAACATCTATCATGCTCTGTACAAGTTCTACTGAGGTCTTTCTACTTTTGCACCACAGAACAAAGGCTTCTGTCTAAATAGTATAATTTGAATATATCAACAAAGTTGGAATGGTAAATTAGCCACCGTTGCGGTTATAAAAGCTGACGTTTTGAGCGTTGGCCCTTCGTCGGAGTGAATAGAGGAATTGTGGGTTGTGTGTGCTTTTAAAGGCAGAAAAAGGAGCTACGTGATTGCCTTTAAAAGCACACACAACCCACAATTCCTCTATTCGCTCCGACGAAGGGCTAGCACTCAAAATGTCAGCTTTTATAATCACAACGGTGGCCTATTTACCATTTCAACTTTGTTGATATATTCAAATTATTTCGTAACCCTCACTGACGCAGCTCCAAACGGTTTCTTTAGAAACTATCAGTCTTTATGTCTAAATAGTACACTGAAGTCAAGTGTGTGAACTTGAGAGACAATTTCATTTCCACAAAATGAAACAAAAGTGCCCTGGTAAGACTATCAAGAAATAGTATTTCCTTATACCTATACCACACAATAAAATACTTCCAGCTTAAGAGTGAAGGTCGGGGGGGGAGGGAATGACAGTGTCAAGTTGAGACTAGACCCTCCCTTATTGATCAGTTAAATTGACTCACAATATTACCCTAAATATGATGTGATCACAACATATTTTTCTGGGAATGTGCAAAAAAATAAAAAAAGCAGATTGATGGAGGAGAGAACACTGTATTACTAATAAGTACACTCCTCTGTATTTGTGAAATGTACACATGATAGGATGACTCAGCAAAAAATAAAGATTTAATTAACCTTGCAATAAAAATTCAGCTGCTGCCAGTATGTTGGGATTCCAGGACTTCCTCTGGGTTAATTCCCTAAGTAGTTCTTGCAGTTTCATGGAAGATCATGTCTAAAACTAACTCGTGGACGAAACTTACCAAATCCATGGAAACAATCGACATACACATGTACATGTAACAGCATTATCGTTTGTTAAAACAAAAGTTTACAAGCCCGAAGAACGATTACATACGATTAGTTTTGCATATGAAATAGATTACATTGGCGATGATTGCGTCGTAAGACCCTATTAGTTTAGATAAACTTACCTTTTCGTTTGTTTCTGCGAAATTTATCCTTTACTGCCTTTTTCACAGCGAACGCCATGAACAGTTGATTCGAACGTCTGAGCCAGTGGCAAAACCAGGAAGTTACTGATAAATAAAGACACTAAAATCAAGTTTAATACAAAACAGCGCAGCTATTCAAGAGGATTGGGATGGACCTTATACTCCCTTAGCACTACTCTTGAGGATCTGAAGTGATCATGTGATCATGCATGCAAGGCACTCTGAAGAACGGTTACCAAGCAAAAGGAAAAGAAACATCAAGAACTTCATCGTGATTAACTTTTGATAGTTTTTACTCATCCCTCTCGTGTTTTACATATTCTCGAGCCGTTAGATATTATATATTTCGTTACAGGAGGAAACGAAATAATGAGGTACGTTTTATAAGTCTTAAGAGAGAAAATATTTCGAAAGACAAGTTAAAATTTGCCTACGAAGCACGAATTTCAGGTTGAAAATATCCCCTAGTCTGTTGTGTTGTTACGTATATATCTCCGATTTCCGAAACAATGCAGATCTTTTGACGATCTCTCCAGGCAAAATAAAATTTAACAAAACTCCTTCAGTCGTTAACCCATGAGTTAAGGAGCATGATATGGAAAACAACTCTAAAAATTGTCTTCACCGCAATTGTTTGAGACGTTGTACTACTTCCGTAGAATAATGCGCATACATGTATAGTTATCCCAGCCTTATTAAGTAAATCTGTCACAAGAATAGCTCAAGTGGTGATACTGTTTACGTTTGACATACAAGCTAAGCGCGATCAATGGTTCGATATAGAGTTTTCATTTAAATGTTAAATCTGTTCATCAACCAACAAATCAGTTGTATTGTCTCTCCATTTGACAGTCGTCAGCTTATTTATCAGTATGAAAAATATCACCTCTTTGCTTTTCTTTCCAGCTGAATGCTTAGAAACTTGCTGAATAAGTATAAAACTTGAATAGATGGCCTTGTCACGCATGAGTGTGCACGATCTAATGGGAAATACCCACAACAAAGGAAGGACAAAAAAGAAACAAGTTCTTGGAAAGGAAGGTGCAAGCACCTTTCACTCCAGAGATGAAAGTGATCATGTTGATGAGATATATGATCAAGGATTAAGACATTTTCGTGAATCTGAATTGAAGAGGCAGGAAGACATGCGAAAGATTAAGCCTCAGAACCCAAATTTAGATGTCAAAAAGGAAGGAGATGTACAAGAGGAAAGGAATGCACAAACTGTGCATGGCACTAGCAATGGTACACTTTCAAGTGATCTATACCAAGGTTTATCAAATCTTGTGATGGAAGATCAGGATAGAAATCTGCATGATAATCATGCTTCGCCTCAAGATGCTATATCATGCAATGATGGAAGGAATCTAAATAATGCATCTGATGATTGCCATGACCTCAGTCAGGAACAGCAAAGTGGTTTGAACCAAGCTAATGGTCCAAGTGATGTTGCTGATGGAGCACCAGTGACAGATCCTAGTATTCATGAACTTGAATTGAGAGAGTCTTGCATACCAAACTCTTTAGGTCCTGGTACTATGTCTTATACTTCTAGTTATGAAAAACCTGATTCTAACCCTAGTACAAATACAAATTGTGGGATTGAAGCAGCTGAGAGCATTAGGAAAACTCCAGCTCATAAGAAAACTCCCGAGGAACAGAATGAGCATTCCCCTACTTCATCTGTACCTCCAACACCTCAGCCAAAGAGCGAATCATGTAGTCCTGAAACTTCACAGATTGTTCCTGGTGGACACCTGAAAGGATCAGGACAAGATGAAGAAGCAGAGAAAAAGAAAAGTAAGAGAAAAAGAAATAGTAAACAATAAACAATAACTGCAAAGATTACTTTCTAAGACCCTCTGACACACAGGCAAGAAAATTCCTTCTCTAGTTATTAAGTCATGCAGAATTTCCTTTTCAGCAAAGAACTTTCATTTTCATTGTATAGGAACTACTTTGAGCAGCTAAAAATGGAGCAATTTTAAATTGAGGCTCAAAAGTAATTTCTTTCTCTCAATCTTCATTTGAGTGTTATGGAATTTTTGTACCTCATTCCTATACCGTCAAGTGCGAAAGTAAAGCCAATTTTAGCCCAGAACCCTATATCTCAATTTCAATTTTAAGCCCTTATCAGGCCCTTTGGATATTTTTCCTATTTTTTCTGATTGGTTTTGGTTTCACGGTACTCTCCTTTAAAGCACAAGTTTGTCACAATTTTTAATATGTTACCGAGGAGGATAATTATTTTTTAACATATGTTGTGTCCCATTTTTTCCAAATTTTTACCACTCTGATGTAGCTTAAAAATTTTTGTTAACAGATACAAAGTTGATCACACAAAGCCAATCATGTAGTCTTATCATCTCTGTAAGAGTCTACAGTCAAGAAAAAGAGAGTGTTTTTGTCGGTGCAAGTGAGGGGAGGTTGGGACAACTTTAGCACACGCAGGTCATGATCAAAGTCAAGTGAACAGTTGGTTGTTATTGTCAAAGTCATGACTTTTGCCAGATAAAAACCAAACTTCTGTGAACATTTTCGTATGTAGATTGTGTGTCCTCATATTGGAAGCTTAATTGTTATTAACATTAATATAGAACTGTTTACAGTGGAGCTTTGCAGGACTTTGATTGTTTTTGTAAAGAGAAAAGTGAAGTTTATAACTCGAAGACTGGGATCTTTCAAAGAGCAATTCTTCAATTGATTACCCATACTTTTGTGCTGACTTTGTTGTTTAGTTCTGTAATCATGATAATATTTAGCCTTCTGTTGAACCTAATTGATTCAGAACAAGGCTTGATGGTCTATATTAAGCCTTTCAAAATAATGAAACTTTGGCATGCTTAAATTAATCATGTATATTCACCCAGAAAAACAAATGCAAAACCTCACACAAGAGAAGTAGNGGTTATTATTATTATTATTATTATTATTATTATTATTATTATTATTATTATTATTATTATTATAACAAAGTTTCAGTGATACGTCTATAACTCCATAGCCCTCATAGTATTGAAAAGTTTATTGGAAAGATCAATTGAAGAAGTGTTTTGTTTAAGTTTTTGGGTTTTTGCAACCTTCACATTTGTCCACTCAAGCGTTGGTTGTTAGATTTAAATTAACCCTTTAATAATGATGATAATAATAATAATAATAGTAAGGTTTTTATGAGCGCATTTAAGAATCTCAATGCGCTTACAGAGCATAATAAAAATAAAATATCACAATGATACTAACAGTCAGTAGTACCTACACTAACAAAAATAGAGTTAAATGGGATAAAAACCTATGTAGTGTTTCACAATACTAAAAATAAAATTTCCGGAATAGAGGAATGTTTTAAGGGAAGATTTAAAAGACGAAAGAGAAGCTGCAGATTTAAAAGAATCAGGAAGAGTATTCCATAATGTAGGTGCACAGAAGGAGAACGCACGTTCACCGTATGTCACAGAATTTATAGTGAGGCCAGTAAGAAGTGATTTTGGAAGATGAACGTAGAGTGCGTGGTGGATGATATTCTTGTAACAGGGACGACAAATAGGCCGGAGAAAGTCCATGAAGAATCTTAAAAGTAGTAAGAATAGCTTTAAACATTATACGTGATTCAACAGGCAGCCAATGTAGTTTTTGAAGAGCAGGTTTGATGTGATCATATCGTTTAAATCCGGTAATAAGACGTGTTTTGAACTCTCTGGAGTTTGTCGAGTTCCCGTTTCGGTAAACCATAGAGGATACTGTTAAAGTAGTCCAGTCGTGATATTACTAGAGTACTGACTAATAGTTTTAAGGTTTTCATTAGTGAGGTATTTACGAATGCGCCCTATGGATCTGATGGCATTAGTTGCTTTCCTGCATGTCTCATTAATGTGGTATGTCAGTGTTAGATTTGTAAATTCTCCCTTCGGCTGCTTTCACATTTCCTTTTAAGTTAGTTACAAAAATTTGGTCTTAGATCGAGATGGCTACTTCTACCTGATAAGTTTGAGTATTCTCATTACCTGTTTGTGGGATGGTGTAGGGATATTATAGGGAAAAGTTAACTGTTAATCACATCTGAGAGTTAAAGGGTTAAGAGGGAATAGAAACGTCATTAAAAAAATTAGTGATAATCTTCTGATCATCAAGTCAGATATTGTGGTTGAATAAGGATTAAGTGATTTACTAGCTGTTTTTTTTTTCCCCTAGTTTTTCGGGAAAAAATGGAACGCAACTCAGCAAAGCAACTCAGTGATCTGGAGCAAATGCCCTCGGAAAAGAGCAACGAGAAAACCTTAATTTCAAATCTGGAGAATAATGCTGCCATTCGGGGCTTCATAATTCGAGGGAACTGTGGAGAAGGAAACTGCATGTTCCACGCACTATCCAGACAGCTGAAAATTAAAAAGGATATCCAAATCTCTCATGGTGATTTGAGGGGAAAAATTGTCGAGTACCTTGAAAACCATCGTGAACTGGTAAGGGAAACTATTCAAAGATGATTTGGGATTTGAAAAAAAAATTATAATTTTCTGCACCTCAAAACCTCAAAATGGCTCTTTGGCTGACAAAAGAGTATTTAACTCCTTTTGCATGTTGGCTTGAATGGTGCCTTTTAAAAGAGATACGTTTTTTCCTTAGGTTGAAGCCGTAAAGAATATTCAGTAAGCAGTGAGTTCGCTCCTTAAAAAGAGCCTCCGTCTCCTATAACCCCCACCCCTTTTCCCCTTCGTCAGAAATGTTAAAAAAACGTACAGTCCAACCAGTATTTAGTGGCACTGTAATAACGGTCACCCTGTATTAAGCGGTCGGTTGTCAANTATTACTGACATTTGCAAATCTTCATTTTATCATTTGCGAAATATTAGCTATATCAGAAAATATCTTTCAGCGACCACTACTGAATTGCTGGTTCATATGTTTGTATCTTCGAAGCTGGATTACTGTAATTTCCTTTAGTATGGCCTACCAGCCTTCACTATAAATAAGCTACAACACGTCCAGAATGCCGCGGCGCGCCTCGTCACACTTACAAAAAAGCAAATAATTTAGGTGTACAGAAGGAGAACGCACGTTCACCGTATGTCACAGAATTTATAGTGGGGACAGTTAGAAGTGATTTGGAAGATGAACGTAGAGTACGTGGTGGATGATATTCTTGTAACAGGGACGACAAATAGGCCGGAGAAAGTCCATGAAGAATCTTAAAAGTAGTAAGAATAACTTTAAACATTATACATGATTCAACTGGCAGCCAGTGTAGTATTTGAAGAGCAAGTTTGATGTGATCATATTGTTTAAATCCGGTAATAAGACGTGCTGCAGTGTTTTGAACTCTCTGGAGTTTGTCGAGTTCCCGTTTCGGTAAACCATAGAGGATACTGTTAAAGTAGTCCAGTCGTGATATTACTTGAGCACTGACTAATAGTTTAAGGTTTTCATTAGTGAGGTATTTACGAATGCGCCCTATGGATCTGATAGCATTAGTTGCTTTCCTGCATGTCTCATTAATGTGGTATGTCAGTGTTAGATTTGTAAATTCTCCCTTCGGCTGCTTTCACATTCCTTTTAAGTTAGTTACAAGAATTTGGTCTTAGATCGAGATGGCTACTTCTACCTGATAAGTTTGAGTATTCTCATTACCTGTTTGTGGGATGGTGTAGGGATATTATAGGGAGAGGTTAACTCTTAATCACATCTGAGAGTTAAAGGGTTAAGAGGGAATAGAAACGTCCTTTAAAAAAATTAGTGAAAATCTTCTGATCCTCAAGTCAGATATTGTGGTTGAATAAGGATTAAGTGATTTACTAGCTGTTTTTTGTTTCCCTAGTTTTTCGGGAAAAAATGGAACGCAACTCAGCAAAGCAACTCAGTGATCTGGAGCAAATGCCCTCGGAAAAGAGCAACGAGAAAACCTTAATTTCAAATCTGGAGAATAATGCTGCCATTCGGGGCTTCATAATTCGAGGGAACTGTGGAGAAGGAAACTGCATGTTCCACGCACTATCCAGACAGCTGAAAATTAAAAAGGATATCCAAATCTCTCATGGTGATTTGAGGGGAAAAATTGTCGAGTACCTTGAAAACCATCGTGAACTGGTAAGGGAAACTATTCAAAGATGATTTGGGATTTGAAAAAAAAATTATAATTTTCTGCACCTCAAAACCTCAAAATGGCTCTTTGGCTGACAAAAGAGTATTTAACTCCTTTTGCATGTTGGCTTGAATGGTGCCTTTTAAAAGAGATACGTTTTTTCCTTAGGTTGAAGCCGTAAAGAATATTCAGTAAGCAGTGAGTTCGCTCCTTAAAAAGAGCCTCCGTCTCCTATAACCCCCACCCCTTTTCCCCTTCGTCAGAAATGTTAAAAAAACGTACAGTCCAACCAGTATTTAGTGGCACTGTAATAACGGTCACCCTGTATTAAGCGGTCGGTTGTCAAAGTTCCGAATTCGTTTCTCCTTAATCACTGTAATTTTCACCTCTATTAAACACGAAGGCGCGCTATAAAAGGAGAGGTCCCTTAGGTGCCTGGTAGACGAACAAAAGGAGCTAATGAGATGTTTACTCCCACCAGCATAGTGGCAATGATGTAAAGTGCGAACCACGTACTTCAATTTCAAATTTACCGCAACAAATAAAGACAGCTTCCATTGGAGAAAGGAAATACAAATCTCAAAAATTCTTGTATTGTGATGAAGACATAAAACAATTTTGAGGAATGCGCCCGCTGTTCACCGGCTTTGGATTAGCTATAGCTCAAGCTGACTTGACTCTTAGAGTTCTACATCACACGACGGTTGATTGACAAATGGTCCAGAGGTAACTAAGGCACCTCTCCTTTTATAGCGCGCCTTCGTGTTTAAGCGGTCTCTTCCATTGAACGATGATGGTCACACTTTACTTAAATCAGCGACCTAGTTATATTGTCCTCCACTTGTATTGAACGGTCACTTGAAGCAGAATCACCCACTTAAAGCTAATAATAATCTTTCAAGTCCTTTTATTCCTTGTTTCTTTCCCAAAATCAAAGCAAGAAGTGTTTTTGAGCGAGATTCTGCATATCAAGTGGTCAATTATGGCATAAAGTGGCGTTGTGTATCGTTTTCCTCTATCACCCATAATCTGTGGAACTTGTATTAAGCGGTCACTCCGCCTTTCCCCGTGGGTGCCGCTTAATACAGCTTCGACTGTAGCTGCAGAGAAAAACCTCAAACATTTTTTTACATTTTGAAATTATAAATTGTCAATATTTTTGTCTTTTTAGCCCAAAGTTGGTGATCTTTTTTCATTCACTTATGGCTATGAATCATGGCTCAAATTTTTAAAAGACATGGCAAAAGACGGCACTTGGGGAAACCATGTGGTACTCGTGGCCGCTGCAAACAAATATGAAATTCCAATTCGTGTGGTCAGCAGTGCGACAGATCGTCAAGATATTATAGTCGAACCCAGTTCCCCATTTAACCAAGACATTGAGCCGCTGGTGCTGGGACATGTTTTTGAGTATCACTATGTCAGCCTTGAACAAGAATTCACGTCAGGTAAAACATATCACACTGCTATTATTGTACAGACTTACCATGTAAAAACTGATTGGTTGAGAGCATTCAATCAATTTACAATAACGTGTGAAGTTGACATGATAACCTTTAAGGTTCGAGGTCTGCCTAGTTTTCAAGCCCCTCGTCCGTGTAGTGCGCTCAAACTTTTGCAAACTCAGAGAAAAGTGTCTTCTTTTGCAGATTGATTTAAAAATGTACGATAAAACTGTATGGTGTCATGAACTATCAAACCTCGTGTCGGTGTTATCTGCCTCAGCCTTCGGCTTCTGCAAATAACTCCGACCTCGATTTTGACAACTCATGATGTCATGCGCAACCTCTTCTAATAATTGCTTATGGACCTCTCTATGGGACTGCCATGAAGCTTTGCGCGACCGTAAAAGAACCGCTTGATTGTGTCTCATATACGCGTTTCTTGTGTAGCCCAATTTTAATTTTCAGGTCGTCGTGGCACACATCATGTTAGTCCGAATTAGGGGGAGGTGGGGAGGACTCTTCCGTGGTCTAAATATCGTAACGAGGCAGCTTTACAGTCCATGATGGAAAAAAATAGTCTCTCGAAAGATCCCGTTGTGAGACCGGAAATACCAATAGCTTTGCTTGACCTCTATCCTCCCTTCGAAACTGGTAAAGTTGTGTAATTTTGGGGAAAGCGGGGCATCCTTTGTGACAGGAAAGGCACGTTACAAATACCTGATTGTGTTCCACTTGACGGCGCGCATTAACAAACATATTGGACAAGAAGAGCCACCTAGTGGAATGTCCATCGCGAAATTATGTATCTATTCATTTATTTATTTATTTATTTGCAAAAACGGTTTGTGAACTTAATATGTCACCCTGAAGGAATCGATAATCCCAAATGATTAGGGACAAGATTCAGTTGAATTTGCCGCTCATTTCTGGGGATCCTGTACGAAATAGTCAACTAATTTATCGCTGTTTGTGTAAAAATTCCAGGAGGAAACTGCCAAACGTCAAGTGACAACCGACTGCTTTCAAAACATTTGGAGTATGGACAGCCTCCGTTCAGTGCAACATACCAACAACATCAGCAGCGCTATCCGCAAGGGCCGGCCTTAAATCAACCAGAGGACACTTGTGGATCACTAGGATCCTTTCAATCACAGAGTTACTATCCATCAAACAGATCCTTTATTTCATCAGTATTGCAGGGCCAGGTGCTCTGTCAGAAATCGCAGTCAAAAGGAGAGCTCCTCTCTGAGAAGGAAAGAATTGAGATAAAAGTGACGGAGCTGCCGGTTGAAGTGTACCGCAAGATTTGTATGAAGCTGAGCGTCAAACGGAATATAACGTTTGACGATTTTCGTATGGTGGCTGAAATGCTTGGCTTGGATAGGGACACTATGGAATTCATAGGTCAACAAAGTAACCCAGCTGAAGTTATGTTCTCCCAATTCGGACGAAATTTGATGGTATTTCAACTGATCAAAATTCTTCAGGACATCGAGCGATTTGATGTTGCTGCTGTTTTGGATGAGTGGGTCAAAAAAGGAAAGGTCAAGTAGTCCTAAGGCCTGATTAACATCAGAATTTTTATCCTGTAGATTATAAGAGTTTTTTTTTTTCGCTACAAAGATGTAACAGAAAGACGTTAACCAAACAAGATCTAAACCGATCCCTTAGAGGTCTTTGTGGAGAGTGAACTGAGCGAAAACGAAATGTATCAAAAGTGAAATAATACCCAATGGTAAATCTGTCGATGAAAGTGACGTCAAATACTCATGAACGCGTTTTGAAGATTATCTCTCGGACTGAAAATCAGAAGAAGCACTGAAGAAACTCAAAGCACCTCTGGTGTCAGGTCTGCATGGTTATCGAACCCTGGCCACACCACAACCCTGGCCACACCACACTGTTGTGCCTCCAAAAACGAACTCCAAGGGAGGGATTAAGGAAGACAAGAGGCTATATTTTTTTCGTTGTCTCCTTTCTTTTCCTCTTTATCTTTGAACCACAGGCAACGAGCCGTACGTAGGAAATGGGCCTTACAATGCAAATAGTGTTGTCTGAAGGACTCTTTGGACGTAGTACGGTTTCCTGAATGGTGTATTTACATTCGTGCTTGACTAGGATTTTTCTTAATTAGTATTGCTTGGCAGAATCACAAGTGAGGTTGTTCATTTTATAAAATGAATCGTATGGTCATTGGACGTTGTACGCTTTGATGTGTTAAGTATTCTCCAGGCGCGTAGCGTCCTCTACGCATATACGCACGTGCGTACTTGAAGTGACCAGAAAAATTTGAAAACAATGTTGTGTTTGCGCCAAGTTTGCTCAAATTAAGGGCAAGACGCTTTGTTCTTTGCTTGTATTCACACAACTGTTTCAAACAAGAAGTAAAGAACGCAGTATATTCGCTCAGTTTACTTAGGTTTCTAGATCATATGTACTTGTGCGTACTTGAAAAAATGACCACGCTACGCGCCTGTTTTCCTGATACCAAACAGTTCAGGCGGGGTTCTTAACGATTTGTATATCTTGGAAAAGAGGTACCAGAAATATTTCAAGTTTGTCATATCCAACCCGTGTCAATTTTGTCATCCTTGTTCTTGATTGTTCTTTTTCAGTTTTTGCTTACCTCTTTAGTGTTTGTCTACGGTAGTTAAAGGTTATCATAAGGTTTCGTCCAATTTTAAGGAAATGTTTTTATTATCGAATTTAAAACTGAGTCAAAATAATTGCGTGGTAGACGGCTTGACAGACTACTTTCGGGTTTTTGGTTTTTCACGCAGGCTAATATAGATGTAGCTCCTCTTTTAAAGGGATCTACCAAGGTTTTTGCATTAACTACGTACTTGCTGAGTGTTTTTCTGTTGTTGTTGTTGTTGTTGTTGTTGTTATTTTATTTAAACGTTAAGTGGCGCACTGGAGGACTGATCATTGCTAAATTAAGTCAATATGTGAAATGGTCATGTGTCTACGTAGAGGTCGTGAAAATCCCTTTTCCGCCCCCTCCCTCCCCTCTCCATCTTTCATCCCTTCCCTCCCCCCCTCCCCATCCTCCCCTCCCTTATTGAATCGTGTTACAGCCGATCAGCAGCCCGCATGGGAAGATTGTCGTGGACGGTTAAGAATTGTGAATTAGCAAACACATTCAAGTGAAGAGGGCGAAAGAGTAGTTGTAGACTTAAAACGTAAAAAGATAACTTAGCCAAGCTAAGTATTAGGTGTTAGAGAGACAAAAATGTCTAGATGAAGTGTAGAATACTAAACTGGTAATTAGGGACGGAATGATTTTGTGATTAAATTATCAATTCATTGTTAAACAGCTTGGTTCATCATTGTTTGACTTGGTTATTAATAATTGCTTCATTTTTTAACTTAAAAATTTACAAAATACTTTATTTCTTTATTCAGTTTCAAAATCTCGAGCTTATTATTTCGATTTAAAACCACAACCTCACTTTCTTTATGGTTGTAGGTTTTCATCGTCTCACGAGATTATTTTCCCTGTCTTGAAAAGCGCCAGCCTAGATTTAACCAACTGGTATGATGGTAACGACAGCGGAGATGTACAATTTCTTCCTGAGCCTTTTATGTACGCATTTACTTCATATCTGAATTTCAACCCTCTAAGTTTTCATTTCTTTAAATTCAATCCCGAATCTCTTCCAACACGACAAAATTCTATTCTGAATTTATAGTTTCACTGTAGACTCATGCCCATAGTCCGCGGACCTCGCGAAAGTTTCTTCTACCAACGTCTGCATTTTTGCCTAATTGAATGAATACTCGTTATTGTGGTCTCAGTAATTTGGTGAGGGTACGAGCATTAAAACCGTTATTGGCTTCGTTAATCGCGGCTGCTGTTTCAAGAATGATGCGAGCGACAAGGTGAAGGGGATCATGCGATGTCTTTCGCGCAATTTTTTTTTTGAGGGATTGCGAGTCATTCTTCGCAGAAAATGAACTGCCCACAATGCATTGTGGTTACTTAGAAAGCGCGCACATTTTCCAAAATGGCCGACGCACCCAACGAATTTCAACTGGAACAACCACCTTCTGATGGAATTTCGTCCGTCAAATTCAGCCCTAATCCAGCTTCGTTTTTAGTGGTGTCATCATGGGATACAGTAAGGATCTCTCCCTTTGAATTAGCGACTTAAACGTTAAATTTCCGTGTTTCAGAATAGCGACTTCTTCCCGACATAAACCTTTTTAATTTTGAATTGATTGTTAAAGTTTCGTGCGACTTTGTTTCAGTCTGTTATCTACTTTAATTCTTCTACCATACTTCCAACAGACAGTCAGACTTTATGATGTCCACAACAACAACATGCGTCTTAAATATAATCACCCAAACGCGGTGCTAGACTGTTGTTTCCAAGATAGTGTGCATACTTACAGTGGAGGACTTGACAATACTCTGAAAGTGTAAGTAGTAAGCAGGGATCCGCAAGTTGTTTAACACAAAATAGCAAAACTTTTCCCTCTTGCTGGTCTCAAACAATTGTGTATGTTAAGTACAATTTGTGATATAGAAGGCCATAGGAGAATGTTAAAGAGCCACAGCACCTTGGTAAATAACATTGTGGCCTTAATTTTTACTACAGATGACCAATTTAGCTCCTACATCACCTTTATATTTGAGGGAATATTGCTGCATTCTTTCTCATATTTTGATGACTGATCAAAATGAGCATTATAAAACTGGCCTGAAATAGATAAAAAGCAACATTATGTTTGCACAGTACAACTTGTCTTACCTACCTTATACTACATGTGAGTTGTGTTTGCACTATATCTGTAAACATGAAAATAGGAATAAAGTTTGTTTGCAGTTGTTTTCAGAAATTCAGCTTAAATCATTTTCAAATTTTTGTATTGTTTGTTTCTCTAGTGTTGATTTAAACACTTCAGCTGAACAAGTTGTAGGAATGCATGATGATGCAATTAAATGCGTGGAACACTGCTCAACTCCTGGTATGGTAACATAAACTTTCCAAATTAAACAGGGTGTGATTAATAGTTAAGCATGATAATTTGAAGAGGTTCCTTTTCAAGATGTACCTAAATTACGGAAAAAAGTTACTCTTTACTTGGAACACTAGAAACTGAGTGTTTTTAATGCAGTCTTAAAGAACAATGACAACCAAAAGTGATGGGGGTGATAAATTTTTTTTTTATCTGATTTTTATATAGCTGGTGTTCACACCTTGAGCATGTTTCTCTGATTTGAGCAACAGACAAAGATCCAGAGTCGGGCTTTAATGCAGTCATTTAGGAATATTTGTTCACTTCAAGGTTTAATTGCAACTGGTAGCTGGGACAAGTTTGTGAAACTTTGGGACCCAAGAACAAATCAGTGCACTGGATCATATGAACAACCAGAAAAGGTTTGTAACTGCAATCCTTCAGTACTAAGATGTCCATTATGGTTTGGTTTGGATTCCTTGAATGCTTTGATAAAAGTCCCTTAACATTAGTGCTACTGGAAGTTTTGACATTTTATTTAGTATTTGAATGTTATTAAAATGTGGAATCCAAGACATTGTCAGTGTCACAATGTATCGATTGACATAATTAACCATCTAACTCCATGTGGTGATGAACAGGTAGCTTCTCTCTTCCATATCACTTCATTCTTCAGCAAACAGGTAATGTGGATACTCAAACATTCCAGGTTAAAGTTGCTATCTCAATCTAACAATGAATTCTTGAGACTGATTTATAAGGAAATGTGTAGCAGCTGAAGTGGAGAATTAAAAATCAGATCATTGTAATTAAAGGGTTAACATATTCCTCAAGTATTAGTTTAAGGGGACATCCATTGGATTCTGACTGGCGTCTACCTTCAGGAGGGTGTGTATGTTCAAAGATTTCCTCGGACTGAATGTTGTTGTGGTTGTCTTAGGTTTACACAATGGCTTCATCTGACGAGCGTCTTGTCGTTGGCACAGTGAGTACTTTGAGACTGAAATTTTTTACTTTCCATCTGACCTGAGTGTAACATTAAATCTTACAATTATAGAATCATTGGTGAGCTTTAACAAGGAAGTTCATTTTCAGTTTATCTTGCTATCTTTTAGGCTGGAAGGCGAGTTATGGTATGGGATCTTAGGAACATGGTAAGACCAAAATAATTATTTTCTTTAGGTGCTAATGGTGTTTTGTATAAAAAGTCGATGCTAATAGATACCTGTTCACGGAAATGTCTCTAAAAATATGGATTTCTGTAGTTACCACATTTTTTCACCTGGGTCTTTTTTTATGGAACATAGCTCTGGTCAGTGTGACTTAATATCATTTTTTAAAATATGTGTATGTATAGCTCCATTCAGGTAATTGCAGCAAACAACATAAGTTTGGATTGTGATTCTGGCCAGTTAATTGCACTGGCTGAGTTTCATTAAAGAATCAAATCAATAAATTAATAACTTGTACTTACTACTGATGTACATTTTTCAAAGACATATGTACAACAAAGAAGGGAATCTAGTCTAAAGTATCAAACAAGATGTATCCGCACTTTCCCAAACAAGCAAGGTAAATTTGCAACTTTATGTTAGACTGGTTTATTTGGTAATTTGGTTTTATCAATTTGCTTTCATGCACATGTGTGCAGGCAACCTTGCCTGTCGATACTTAAGTTGTTTAAGCTGTGGAGTGTGGTTTTAATGTGCTTTGAGTGTGTAAGGCTAGTCTACCTAACAAGCCCTATCTCATAAACTTGTAATGAAAGCCTTGCATGTGAATATATATCCTATATTAACCTCTAAACTCCCAGAGGTGATTAACATGTAACTTATGCCTGTAATAATCATTCATTATCCAGCAAACAGGTAATAAGGATACTCAGAGTTATCAGTTAGAATTTGTCATCTTGATCTAACACTAAATTGTTGTTGCTAATTAACAAGGACATGTGTTGCAGCTAGAGGGGAGAATTAACAATCAGATCTTGGGAGTTAAGAGGTTCAGTTTTTTCTTTCTTTGTTTGTTTGTTTATGTTTGTCCAGTCATAGAAAGGAAATGACATCCCATATCAACAATCAACAGCCCTGGACAGGCTTAATTTTATCAGGAAGTGTTGTGTTGGGGTGATGAACTATTAATAAGGAAAACAATGAGACAGAAAAAAATTCATACAGTTTAGACCAACAAAGACTTACCGGTCTGACAGTGACAATCCCTTTTGCGCAGAAAGTTACATATATCTTCACATTGTGTTGTTAGTACAACATTCGATGACCTTTGATATCACAGGGTATGTGTTGAGCTCCATTGAGGGCAGAGTAGCTGTGGAATACTTTGACCCAAGCCCAGACGTTCAGAAAAAGAAATATGCCTTTAAGTGCCACCGCATCAAAGAAGAAGGAATGGAAAATATATATCCTGTTAATGCTATATCATTCCATAATGTGTGAGTATCATATGTCTCTTCCATGATCAATCTGAGGACATCTTTGATAATTGAAAACTTGCCGTACATTATCGAGCCCTTCATCTCTGTATGGTCTTGTGCAAGTCTTCCACTCTCAGAGGAAAGAGTTTAGAAACATTTGAATACATCTTTAAAAAGGCATGGAACCTGTAACATGCAACCTGTGGGTTGTTTCACAATGCGCTTCCCGCATACTTATCTATTGAGTTAGAACAGCTACAGAAACACGCCATGCAAATTATTTTTCCATTTGTTCCATACAGCAATGCATTAAATCAAGCCAACTTGGCGACGCTCTCCCAACACAGGCAGTCTATCACAACTAAGCTTTTTGATTCCATCACTTGTAACTCACTATAGATTGTATAAGCTTTTGCCTCATAACAACTGTGAACTCAATTTGAGACGAAAGAGGAAATTTAACGTTCCTCTGGCTTAGATGAAGAGACTCGTGAACACATTTAATTTGTGTATAATTATTTTTCTTATATTTTTTCATACTTTTATTAGATTTTCCTATTGTAATGATTGATGTAATCCAGCTTTTGGCTGCGATTTTAATCAGAATAAACTATCTATTCCTATTCTTATTCCTAATTAACCTGAGGTGATTTTCCCGTTGTACACTTACAAAACTGTGATATAATTATTGCTCTCTTTTTTATTTCACTTCTTTTAAACTTTCTGTCCTAAAACCCTTTTTGGTCTGTGTTGTATTTTTATATTTGTCTCAGTGATGTTTCTCTTACATTCAAGGTTCCCTACTAGACCTGGCCTAGATGTCCAAAGGGCAGATAATGCAATTGAACAGATAAATCCCTATCCAGTGGATAAGTGTTAACAAAACACACTGCATTATATACTGGATGGTGATTTATCCAGGGAATAGTGTTAAGCACCCTTTGAACAACCAGGGCCTTATGAGTAAATTAATGTGTATTTTACCACTCCAATCATTTCAGACACAACACATTTGCTACAGGTGGTTCCGATGGTTTTGTAAATATTTGGGATGGCTTCAATAAAAAGCGACTTTGCCAGGTATATCAATGAATATTTTAAAAAAATTACTTCTCTTACCATCAACCTGTGTAGCGGGTAATGTACAACAAAATGGTGGAAAAGTACCAAAGCTATCATCTAATTAGAAATCCCATGGCTAGTGTTAAGTTAGAAAAATATTTATATGAAGTGTGCTTTGGAGAAACCTGTTCTTTGTACTTGCTGATTTGAATGGATGATCTCTGTCTTAATATACCCATCACAGTACTATTTTGGTTGTATCAACTCATTTGATTGAACCAACATTACGTTGTTACTCCCACACACATAGCACCACAGATTCTGTAAAAACTTAACTCCCTTTATCAGCCACAAAACAGTCATGATAACTGTTGCCATTTAGAACTTGTGTTGATTTCTACCGTACCTAACCAAGCTTATTCCCAAATTTTATTTAGTATACTTTTACCTTCTTCATGTTCATGTTAGTTCAAATTACTTTTAATAATAAATAAAAATAATAAACATTTGTACAACTCAAATTCCATGTAAGCATGATCAAATATGCCTTACAGTTTCAAATAAATGTCGTGTCCCATGAAAACAACTCAGTGTTGTGACAAATTAAAAAGTAAAGTTTTAGATGATTCTGCAGGGCCTGGTCATTAAGTAAACTCAAACGTTAATCATATCTAATTTCATTTTCAGTTTCATCGTTATCCAACCAGCATTTCATCATTAAGCTTCAGTAATGATGGCAGCCTGCTGGCCATAGCTGTTTCATACATGTATGAAGAAGATGAGAAGGAGTAAGTTTCATCAAATTACCATACATGTAAAGTGCTTCATGATAAACTGCTGAGGGAAATGTTAAAATTTTGAGATAATGGGTGTCTTGAAAGATTTGACAGTTAGATAATGAAAACACTGATTGAGGGAGTGAGGTTGCATGTGATCCTTTGTTTGGCTGGCATCATATAGTCATCTCACACTTTATTTTACACACTGAGCAGTGAGCTTGAGTGGAGGGGCAGGGGTTTCATAGTTAGTGCACTAAAGTGGTTCGGGTTCAAGCCCTGGCGGGGGACATTGTGTTGTGTTCTTAGGCAAGACACTTTACTCATTGACATAGTGCCTCTCTTCACCCAGGAGTAGAAATGGGTACCGGCAAATTTAATGCCTGGGGGTAACCCCACGATGGACTTGCATTCCATCGGGGGAGGGGGGGGTAGAAATACTCCTAGTCACTTCATGCAACAGAAACCAGATTTAAGTGCCACCTGATGGGCCACCTGGCTCATAAGCAGGCTTTACCTACAGTTAGCTTGGTAGACAATTGAACTTTTTTGTGGCTCTGACAGTTAGAAAGCCTTTTCACAAAGTCACATCAAGCTTCAGTTGACACAAATGTTTTATATCTCTTACTAGACATCCAGAAGATGCCATTTACATCCGACGAGTTTCCGATGCAGAAACAAAACCAAAGTAAATCCAGTAAGAAAAGGATGTTAGGGGGGAAATCAGCAGACTTTGATATCTACTGGCCATTATTCATGGCATGATGGCATCAACTCATTTCAATTTTGGTTGTAAACTCAGTCATGCCTGAAGGACATTACTGCTTTAATGTACAAAGTATCCTCAACAAGGTTATTGTTATCTTTATTTCACATTCCACCCGCAATGAGACCTCAAGCCCTTTTATACTCAAAGTCAACAAATTTATTCCCCATAGCTTTGTTTGACCTGTTGAAATACTTGAAGTAACTTTCCAATTATGACCAAATTTTCCTGTGATTAGATCAAATATGTCAGGGAAATTATTTAGTGCAACAACCTTTTCAGTCTCAAAATTAGAAAGCTACATCTTGTTCTTGGTGACTCGACATTCCTTTGTACCTTTGTGACATCTTGAGATAGCTGTCTTTAGCATATGCTTGTATTATTATTATTACATAATAAATAGTATTATTGATGTTTATATGCTCCTTTTCTCATTTGTTGGCCACTAACAGTCAAGTAGTTTCAGGTAATACTTCTACCGATATTCTTTAAATGGCAGCCACAATCTTGACCTCATTTGCTGAAAAAAGCTGATGATCCCTTTGTGTGTTAAGAGAATTTCCACCACATCTCGTTGTCAGTTTCACAACAGTCTTTTAGGGGCTGCAGTTTCACAATGCACTCAACAGTGACTTTGTATGTGTTTACTCTTTCATACTGACTGTCTGACATTTCCTGCCCAGAAGTTTTGTATTTTAGAACAAATTTTCCTTGTCAATCCTCAGCTGTCAGCTGGTAGTTTCTTTTGTCAGGGAAAGTTTATCCAAAATACGACCAGCGATTGTTTTGTAGGCAATAGTCTGTTGGATTAGATACCAGAAAATTAATGATCATTACAGGGATATCAGTCCAAGGAAGGGTTATCAAATAAGTCAGAGGTCTAAAGTTGTCAATACAATATTCTTTATTTAATGAAGGTGATGTAATTAACCCAATGAGTTATCTAACTTACGGCCTTCACAACAAACCCACCATCCCACCCCAGGGGACGACATCCATCACACAGTAATCTCTTGTGTGGGAAATTAACATCTCCTACCCCTACCCCTAACCTTGCAGGAGATGGGACCTCCATTTATTCGTCCCTATCCTAGAAGACTAGAATATCTAACCATTTCTTGATGTTATAGAAAGGCACCAAATTCTTCTCAATTATCTTAAGACCTTGAGTGTGTTGGTCCGGCCAGGGCTCAAACCCTTGACCTCCCGCACAACAGTCCAGCACACTATCCATTGGGCTAAGTGGGGGCTCAGTGAAACCTTGACCTCCCGCACAACGGTCGAGCGCACTATCCATTAGGCTAAGTGGGCGGCAGTTTGGACAGTTACCTGAGGATTGTCAGGTTGAGAAACTACAATGGGTTTTCCTGAATCTGAGGTTTCTCTCATGTCGATATGAAGGGGAACATCACCTGGGGAACCAAAGAAAACTGTAAATAATTTACATAAAATAGCTTACCCAAAACCTCTTCTTAGAATGTGGTTGGGGAAAACTGTCAAGAAACAATATTCTACATATCTCATGATATTTGACTCAACCTCAAGTCTGAAAAAATGGAAACTAGGATATGAAATTAGGAGAAAAAAATGTCTTGAATTTTGTACACTCTTAATCCTGTTTCTTCCAGGAATTCAGTATTTGAATTTGTATCTCTTCACTAAAGAAATAATAAGTAATTTGTCGTGTTTACCCAAGAGTTCTAAATCCATTTCCTTTGCAACATCTCTGGCACCATCATGGCCAAATATGTAGGCTTTGTGGTCACACTTGGGACATACATAATGGCTCATATTTTGAATTAGTCCAATAACCTTAATTTTAAAAAGAAAAAAAAATTATTACAGTGAAGAATATGTGATTTTTAAAAAAAAGTCAACATCATTTTTGTTTACAACATAATGAACATAGTAAACATCCTCTACCACACTTACTGGTACATCAACCTTTCTGAACATCTCTGTGCCTCTACGAGCATCAAGCAGTGCAATATCTTGTGGTGTAGTGACGATCACTGCTCCTGCACAAATGTGTATCAGTATACAGAGTTATTAGATGGGACCCATGGTGGCTGGAGCCACTATCTTGTGTCAACTTTTGAAGGGTCTCTCTCTATCCAGGAGAGAAAATGGGTATTAATGAATTGTCAGGGAAGCCTGATCAACTGCAGGCAGATCTGTTTTGATGGACCACCATTTCAACTGAGAAATCTGTGAGGTTTTGGAACCAGCTAACCTTTTCTAACTATGGTAGTATAAAGTGATCTTCAGTATTGTTTCTACCCTTTCATGTATTTGTTCCATTTCTTGGACCTAATGTGCACAACATTCAGTAACATTCCAATCCCTTTGAACTAATTGATCAGAAGAAACTTCCAACTAATGTATTTGGTTGCAAAGTGTGCACCAGAGTTTAATTGCAAGACTTGAGGTGATTGTGAGCCTCACCCAATACTTGCAGAGCTCACCTGAAATAGGAATTAGTTGTGAGATAGACAGCTGGGTATCTCCTGTCCCAGGAGGCATGTCAATCACTAGAACATCCAGCTCTCCCCATGCCACTTGTCGTAGTAACTTTTCCACAGCTGACATCACCTTTTATGTTTCAAATAAAAAATGTTATGAAAAAATTTTCTGTCAAACTCACTTTTATTTCTATGATTTGATTCAATCTCCCTTTGCTGTTATACATTTCCTTTAAAATTGGTTTCGAGAATGAAGTAGTTTGTCAAGATAACAGAAACACCCTCCAGCTGATGTTTGTTTATTCATATCACCTGTTTGTTTGTTTATTTATACCCCTTGCAGAATATCTGAATTGTATACATGGAAGTAAGCTTACAAAATACAATAAATAATGGCTTTTTATACATTTTGCTTTAAATAAGTGGCAAACTTGTGTGTTACAAACTTTCCAAAACGGTCAGTTTTTGTGCTTTTCACATAACTAGTAGAAGAAGACCTAAGATTGTACTTGTTACTTGGTTGAGGGAGGTGGCTTTTGACAATATTGAAAACAGGGTTTGACACTGTCAAACCCTGTTTGTTGAATGATGTATTCAATGACAATTATTGTGAGAAAAAGTTACATGGTCATGGTAGTATTCCCAAGGATTAATCAGGGTGAACTCACCATTAACCCTCTCCACACAATTGGTGCCCCTTCCTCCACCAGGAAGCCCATGGACATACTGTTAAGTGAAAAATGAGTTATGATGAACATGATCACTTAAGGGTCGAGCAAGAGTTCCTTAAACTCATCAGTTATAGATTATTTTTATTATTTTTATAGTAAATTTTTCTTATTCTTTTGCGTTGAACTTTTGAAGACTTTGCATTTCCTTTGTCAAGAGACTCAATGTAAGATATAGACTACCTAAACAGCACATAATTTTATTATTCATAGCCATATAATAATGTAGTTTAGGTTAGTGATATTTTTTCTTAAAAGGAGAGTTGTAACTTGCAAGATTTTTTTTATTTTTTATACACTTTCATGTTAGATTCAATAAAGGTTATTTCTTAACATGATTACTGGTTTATCAGAGAAACTACAATGAACACAATTAAATAGCGATTAAGTAGCGGTGCAAGTGACAAGCAGTCACCTTAGCAAATAGAAATTCTTAATTACTCTCATGATAAGAAATACCATACAAAGTTAATTTACGAAGGAAGTGACCTTACCAAGGTACTCCAAAATTCACCAATGGCTTCATCTTGCTTTCTTAATTTAGACAAAAAATGAAACAGGTAAATAACTCTTTAAGTAGCCACAACTGCCCTCAAATCAGGATTCTTTAAAAATGTTTTTCAAGAAAATTTCACATAGGGCCATACAGGTTGTTAATAATAATTCTTAATTTTTACATGAATCGGGCAGTCAGAGGGCCATAACTAAAATCAACCAATCAAAATGCTCTATTGCCAGTCAATATTCTCTCAGTATTGGACTGGGCACTGTCCCGAATGGTTCCGAATGATACCTCACTTGTGTCCCTTTGAACTTCAGTCGTATAATAAATCTCTTTTTAACCAAGCTTGCACAGGACAGTACTGGAAGAATATCGGCCCTTGGTCTTTTTTGTACGGACCTTGCTGCGCTTGGTCCGTACAAAAGAGACCTCGGGCCTATATTCTCCCAGTACGGCCCACGTGCTCGGTTAATAAGATATATATATTCAACAGATCAAGTATAACATATATTTTAGTCTGTGATAGTATGGAATAATTACATAGGCCATGATGGTTATTATTGGGTCTAAGTTTAGTTTATAGTCATTTCTTGGGTCATAAACATCAACTTTGTTTTCCAAATGACCACTTTGACACAGAGTGTACATGAGCTGCTATTTGATGTGCAATCAAGCTCAGATGTCTTCCAGCAGTGGCAGTTTTAAGTCCAACTGCAACATTGTGGATAAAGTTAACTGAATTTTTCCTTTATCAGTTCATGATAACCAACAGTGCTCAAACCTTTAGTTAGCTCTGGCTGTCCTCTTAAGTTCATCATTTTTGGTATAGATGGTCCATATATATCTGCATCAAGAAGCCCAACATGCAAAGACTAGGAAAAGAAAAATAGGTGTTTAGTGAATTCAAGATAGATAGTTTGACTAATATTTTTCCTGCAAAGAAAAAATTCAGGACAAAACACTGTAACATTTCTATGACATGTGAAAATGATTCTTCAACAACAGCAGATCCCTAAATGAAACAGTTTCCATTCTTATCTTACATCAACTGTGAAACCAAAACAGACCTAAACAATCCTTAGCAGCCTGAGAGGTCTAACAAAAGTGCATGAGACAGCAAAATCTAAGGAGTGCATCTGCATCTTTCCTTTGTTCCCTCCATTCAGAAAACATTATGTTAAATTTCAACTTCAAACCTGTTTGCTTGCAAGCATTCCCAGAGCCAGATTCACTCGGAAAAGTAACAAAATTAAAACACAATTTAAAGAAACAAACTGTGTTTAAAAAATTCATGATTGGTAATTAGTCTAAAACAATTAGATGAGTTCTGGAAGGGGTCTAACCCTAAAAGAAAAGTTATGGTTCTGTGATTAGTAACACTTATGGCTTGTAAAACTCAACAAAAAGGAGAAACACATGAACAGAACAAGCGAAGATGAACACAATATCAGCTGATACTAGGCCTGTGTTCCCTTGACAGGATTGCTTGCATACTCAGGGTATGTCATAGCAACAACAGGGAGAGCTTTTATCTGCTATTGGACATAGATTACACCATTTGGATTTTATATTGAGCAAACTTTTCTTTGCTATCTTGATCTGAGTTCTTCCTCCCCCCCTCCATTCCCAACCCAAAAGAAAAGGAGCAGGTACTTTGTAATCCTAAAGCACACAAGGTTTGACTTAAAGAAAGAAACAAGCAACTAAAACTTGGAAATTGTGTTTGATAACTGATGCTCTGAAAAGTTAAAATCATTTAAAAAAAAACTGAAATATTAATTGTTATTTGTGAAAAAGGTATCAGCTTTATGAAGACTATTACATGAGAAACAGGGCTAGAGCTACTTGATAAACATAGAATTTGTAAAAATTTAAGTAACTACATATAAATGAAGACTTCATTCACTGACTTGCAATTTATACCTGAGGTTGTGGATTTTCCAACTCCTCCCTTGCCAGAGGCCACAACTACCACATGCTTCACACCATCCACTGGTCGCTTCTTAGGTAGACCTCGAGCCATTTGTTGCTTCTGATGTTCTGCTAATGAATTACTCCTATTTTTGATGCCCTTCAGAAACAGAGAAAAAAAAGCAACTAATCTTATAACAATAAATCCTCCCTTGAAAAGAATGAAGCAAATTTCAGCCAAAATTTAATAGAATACCCATAAATCTAAAGTGACAGACGTCTCCTTACCCTTGAGCATCTGGATGATCGAGCTGCATGATTTTTACTAGAACTGAGGTGAATTTACTCCATAGACATAAATTCATATATTATCCAAAAACATTGCAGAGTTTTCCTGGAATATCGATACTCCAATAAGCTTACCACAAATACTGCACAAACTACTTTAATCTTGTTATCATACCTTAACCTGTGGTACTAGTTAAGTTTAACGGCGAGATCCAGATACCCAACCTTTCCCGCCTGTTGTTAACCTCGTGCCCCTCACCAAGGAGAGTTCTCTTTTCTTTTCAGAGAAGAAAAAAAGAAGAGCAAAACGAACATAATTTTTAGCCTTGCGGATAAAATATTCCAACAGATGCAAATGCTAGAAATGAAGCACATCACAGTTGTGTTATCCATAGGGAGCTCGAGATGCAAGTCGGAAAACGGAACGACGCAAATTAGGACGCTTTCAATTTTCTGTGACAGATGCGAACAGAAGTTTATATCAGTGAACACCAATGATACACAACGAATATGTGAAATTCTTTACTGCGAGGATCGTGCATAAAAAAGTGAACATCATATTAGCACCTACCAGTGGATCGTCGTGAGATGAAGATAGTGCTGCACAAATGTGCTTCTTTGCTTTGAGATGGGAGGCCGGTATAGAAGAAAATGATGGTATTGTTCTGGATAAAATTCTGTGTACAACGGACGCCATCTTTGTTATTGAAAAATATGTCATGTAAGTGAATTCAAATTGTCCTTCCATGTGGAGCATTCTCTCCCCAGTTTCACGCGTAAAACATCCGTTATTATGTTTTGTATTTTCGTAAATTTACGTCGTAATTTCTTCCTCGTGATCATCCAGAAATGATTTCCCCTTCTTCCTTATCACCGAATCCTCAACAAACGCTCTAAGTTAATTAAGTTAATTACACAGTAGCTCTGTACTTTCGCCTAAACTGTTTAAAGCCTTTTAGAACAGTTAAACATTAAGGAAGATGTCTTTTGTTCGGAGTCAGTTTATTGTCTAAGAATGACCTATGCCGTGATAAACACACGATTGCCATGGAAACTAATCGATTAAAGCAGCAACAGGCTCACAATGTTTTGTGATATTTCACACAGGAATTTTCGCTGTATTGGTAGCGTGCGTAATGTAACTAACGTCTAATTGATTCGATTTCAAGAGATGTCCTTTGCCACTTTTGATGACGATGACGAAGATGGGATCGATCGATTAATCTTGTCGCTTGAACGAATTTCTCATGAACTGGATGAATCCATAGCATCGACCGACGTCTTGAATGCGAACGACACTCTGTTGACTGGTTGGACTGTAGACCGTTCTGTAGCCCCAAATGAAAACAAATCTTCGTCCTGCCGATCCTATCTGGCTGTAAAAGACTCCAAAGATTTGAGATCGAGTACGCCTCGAAAGATATTTTCTCGCCAGAGAAATCGTAATGACGTGATCGAGTTCAAGCATTACTTACATCCTCACAAATACATCGAAGAATACAGGAATGAAAAGACGAAGCGACAAGAAGCTGCTCTGAAAGAATTAGCAAACAAGACTGATGGACGCAGAGCGTCTGACAGCAATGTAGAGTTGAGAAAAACTTGTACAAATTGCTATCATTTAGAAAACAGAACGTCCAAACACGTTCCTGGTGTTTTAAGTATGAAGGAAGTCCAAACAGTTGAAGATGACAATGCAGTTAAGCCGTTCATTGTTGTCAAATCAAAAGGATTGACTCGACCTGCTAATTTGCCAATGTCGGGACAATTCCACGGCAGAAAACTTCAGTGGAGACCCTCTGTTACCAACAGAAAGATAGCTCACTCAAAGCCTTCACCTTGGTAAGACAGTTTTATTTTTAATTGCTTCACAAGTTACGCGCGAATGCAATAATGACGATCATTAAAGTTGTCTAAATATTCATATTAAACCTCCAAACATCATGCCATAAATTACTGACTCCTTCAAACAAACTAATCTTTAGGTTTTGGGTTTAACCATTGGCTCTTTTCACATTTTTATATACATATATAAAATTCATACAATAATCCATTCGTGAGGTCATTCTTCAATTATCTTCAATTGGATTTTGATCGTGCGCAAAGCGCCAATGGATCGAAAGAAATGCTTGAAATCTTGAAATACAATAAACAATCAAAACAAAATTTGACTGACGAACGAGTTCGCCAGTTGTTTGGGCCAGGACGGCTCATGGGCTTGTCTTCTTTATTTCAAAATAATCTTGCTTACGAATTTTGGTACTCATAGCGTGGCCTGACTGCACGCAAGTTCGTCCCCGGCCGGAAATTCTTCTCTTCTTTCCTCTTCCCAGCTAATTGGTAGAAGTGCTGTCCATTTACACAAACGTAGATCCCACTCGCAAGCTGCAGTCATTCATTTAAACACCTGAACGTTAACTATACTTAAGAAGTGAAGGAGATTAGTCAGTAACTCTTTCTCTTTCTATAGGAGTCAAGCACACATTGACGTGACTCTTGAGATTACATCACAGGGTGGCGGTGACGTCAGTCAGTTGGTCCACACTGGCAAGCAGGTAAGGCTGTGTAACTTTCTTATGAATTTGCTGGTTTAGAGGAGCAATAGCAAAACCGTCTTGTACATGTATGTTGTTGAAATAGATCCTTTCCTTACTGGCACAAAATTGAATTGGTGGCAGATTAGGGGAGATGGTTGACCGCAGAACCAGTATTTACGATCATAAAGGGTACTGTGTACCACCTTATCTGCGATCATCCGTAAATCGTTAAAAAAAATAAATAAATAAAATCGGCCCAAGAAACACAACCAGCCATCTTGACCTGTTGATTGACTAAACTTAGGTAATTTAGGATCTACTATGTACCCAGATTACTCCAAATAATTGCACAATAAATTCACTGACAAACTCATGTTTTGTTTTTATCATTTTGACTATCATTAAAAACGAGTAGTAATGCGTTTTGTGACTCCTTTGTGGTAGGAATTCCGGATAAACGGTTTTTTAGAGAGCAAAAAAAAGTAACATTCAAATCTGAAGGAGTGTGGTAACCAGCAATTCAGATATAACACCTCGTGGGTTTAGAAACTAAGGGAGGTTTAAAACTATCTGTGAGAAGGAGGAGGTTAAAATTGAACAGAACCCTGAAAAAACACCTTTGAAACTGTCTTCGATATTTGATGACTTTGACAACAGGAACCTTTGGAAATTTCATTTCCACAGAGCGAGGATTACAATTTCTTCCAAGAAAGAAGATCATCCGCGAACTTGGTGATCAAGAGAGCAGAATTAGGAGGTTCACCAACTGCAATGCTGCGAACAGACAACAAAAGTCCGCCCCCATCAGCTCGAGCTGTTACTTCTCAAGCTATCATTACTCAGTGCTCTCCGATAGAAAAATGCGACGCATGGGTTAAAAGCCGAGAAAATGAGTTAGGAAATTTCTCCAGCAAAGCAAAGGAACCGCTCAGCGCAAAACCGCCGACTGTTCGAGGACTTCTTGCGCCATCTGGATTCACTGCACCGCTGTCTTTACGCGGTAACTCGCTGAGTTCTCCTCCGAAAGATTCGCCTGGTTCACGATCGACGGAAAGCTCAGCGGGTTCAACCGGGATGGATTATTCTAAATACACTGATATGTTTAAGAACGTGTTAGAATTTTACGGAACGAGACGTTTGAGGCCAAAATCGCATTCAGCAGTGGAACAGTTATTAACCATGAAAACATGAAAATCGCTTATTTGTACTGACAGAGACTGGCTCTCCGTTGGCCAGTCTGCTGGCAGACTGTGGCAGGTGCATCCACAAGTTCTTTTTAAAAGTTTGCATCCCAGAATCGCTGCATTGCACGGGAAAGATCTCGTCAAGTTCTGCGCTACTCTGCAAAATGGGTTTCAGGAAATCAATTTGTCTCAAATCTGCGAGAAAATTTCAATACGGAATCCCGCCTTTAAAGGAATGACCACTCTACAGTTGGGACGCACATTAAATATACAAGCGAGTATTGCAGTAAAGCTCTATGAACAACAAGTTATTCCAGCTCTCGTTGTTTATTATTTGCTTTTTAGGTATAATTCTACGAGCTTTCGATCCCAAGTTCTGCAATAAAATTGGCTTCGCTTCTCACTCTCCATTCCATGATAGATAGTGAGTTAACTAAATAGACTAACAGAGGGCTGTTACGTAACAAAAACAAACTCATAGGTTTAAACCTATCTCGTTGTTAACTTTTGAACAACTTCTAGATTTATGAACAAACAACTAGATTATTTGCTCTCCATTTCTATGCTTTTAAGTTGATTTAGGTTTCTCTCTCATCAACGATTACCAGATAGGAAACTCTAGCTCATAATCTAATTGTTAACAAAGAGCGCACAGGTCTCAAGTGTCACCAGGAACGCCAAAACCAAAGAAAACCCAAACGGGCAATCACAACAGAGGAAAAAGTCGTAAAGAGCCAGTGAGAAATCGAAGTATAAAAACTTCAGCGTTAGATATACGCGGCAACTTACGCACAATTAGCTGGGAATTGCTTGTAGGGTTATAATTGTTTTAACATGTACAGCGAGCGTGTAAATATGTATCAAAATTTGTACATAAAAAGGATCTAGAACAGTATGATAGAAAATTTACATTTACGTTCATGCCAAATAACAGATAAATATAAATAGAAAGTCAAAAGCGCACGATGGTTGATCATGAATATATGGTTTATTATGGCTCTGTTGCACTTCTCTCTTCTTGACCGTGAACTATCCAGCACCCAGCACCGCACATCATGCGCCGGCGAAACGCAATGACATCAAGCATCAAAAGGGGTAGGGGAGGGGAGGGGAGGGGGGGCTTTTGAAAATATGAAGGGGGGTGATTGTTAAACTACAAGAAAATTTTGCCACTAACTGTAACTACTTTTACGATGGTGATAATTTTGAGCTATCTCATAGCATGTCTTGAATATTTCTCAATTATGTCTGCAACCTGATCAGAAATACGATGTTGCAAGAGACATGCAAAGATCTGCTGATACTCAAATATAAGAACGTGCAGGCTGGGCTTAAAATTACTTTTCGGTACTTTTTCAAAACTTAGAAATACTTTTTCAAGGCCCTCTGTGGAAAGCAATCAGCGTAATTGCGTACACAAAAATCATTCGTTTTCTTTTGCGTAGTATGATACAGGAAAACCGCAGCGCGCATCAACGCACAATTTATCGACCACGATTTGTCCTTAACTAAGAAGATAAATCGCGAAATCAACTAGCCTGCTTGTTTAGTCGAGTGTGTGATTGCTGCGCACAAAATAAAGATGTCTGACAGTTTTTTTTTTTTTTTGTACAAAAGAAAAACTAAAATGAACGATTCTTGTGAGGGGGATGACGTGGTGTGACGACGCCAAACAAGGCTTAGAAGAAAACCGTGATTACTGCAGCTCTCCTGCTAAAAGAAAGACAATTCTTTTACTTTTAACTAAAGTTTGAAGAATGTGTCTTTTACTTTTAACAAAAGTTTGAAGAGTTTCAAGTGTGCTTTGAAAAGGAAAGTGTCACCGACCCTTACAACGACGAGGTGTCGCGGAAATTTCCGTCCCGGAGGAGTCTGTCGCAAATCACGGACATTTATTGAGTGTTACTATTCGTGTGTTCGTAATCGGCACGGCTCTTCAAAACAATTTCTCTGTTGAAGCTGGGATTCACACTTCTGTCGTTGTGGACCAAAAATTACATGATACATTGTACTTCGTTTGTCATTATTTTATTACCACTCAAACAAATCGAGGGAAAGAAGCCGTTAAGACTATTAAAATATGAACATCTAATCCTTCCGACATGTACGTGTAACATAAATAAGCAAGGGCAAGCCAATGGATTGAACGAATTTTCTGTTTAAATAGATCTTTTTACAAGATATACAACGCAATAAAATATAATCGTATGCATTATATCAGATGCTTTTTTCTGCCATTTGTTAGCATTTTGCTATAGCCTATAGCAATTTACGGGTCGCACCTGTATGTTGCGGACCCAGATGTGACCCACTGGCTTTTTGACGTTGCCTCCTGAACGCAGACTTGGGTTCTTGACGGTCAAAGGATGACACATACAGAACTTTGACCTTGAGACTTGGGCCCAAGCGATCGCCTGCGATTGGCTGTTTCAAAACAAGAACGAATGGAAATTTGGAGATGAAGCAAAAAAAAAGACGGGAAAATGAGACACAAAGGACGACTTCGATTCTGTTTTAACTATTTTAGAGGGATGTCGGGGTTAAGTACCAAATTGTCGTACCTTCAATATAAACATCTCGCGTAAACTGGCCGCCAGTCAAAGGGATACTGTCGAATGAAAAGAATAAACTGCTGTTATACAGCCAATCCACCCGTGCCACATCACGGACCATGCACAACTCTGAAAAACTAGACTCTTGGATCTTCCGACAACATGAAGCTTTTAGCCTTCACACTTTCTCACTACAGTGTAAAGTAGACTATCACTTACTTTTCCCCACAAGGGTTGAGTTTTACTTGATAAATACCAAACACGGGCCTGGAAGAAAAAAACAAACACTCATTAGCACAAGCTAACCAACAGTTTATCATTAAGGTCTCAACACATCATTACAAAACAAAAGCCGTCCTGTAGTCGCTGATCTTCACCTGTGATCTGAAGTTTTGACTGAAACACAGCTGTTGTACATGACAGGTTGGATACTTGAGGGATCCTTACTGCGATAAAGAACACGATCCTGACAAACAAGAAGGATTAAAAGAAGCATTAAACGATCCTTCATTTGTGCTTCAATACAAGGCAAGTAACAACTCATTTCTTAAAAAAAAAAAAAAAAGGTATGAATGTCCTTTTGACTGGTCTCCTTCCAAGTCGTTCCTTGGGATACCATACAACGATCCTCACATCCAAAAGAACGGCTGCGGAAGGGGTCTAATATCTGACAACATTTAAATGATGAAAATGAACCCATACACATTAGAGCTCTGTTCGATTGAGCGCCGTAAAACCAGAATCACACCAGCCAATCAAAGCGACGGTTGATCATTAGCCAATCATAACTCAAAGTGAAAACAAGCAAACTGCTTGAAACGTGGGAAAACGCAACTGACCAATTCACGATTGGGTTTAATAGTTTTGCATCCAATTGGTTGAGACGACGATGCGAGTTTTCTGGACCAATCACATGGCAAAGTAAATGACCCTGGATTACTTCAGACACGATCAGACTCTTAAATGAAAATGCTCTAACTCCTTTCTTGGCCTCTGTGCTCCAAATAATGAGTTTGAGGGGCCATCTGAGGCATGCCTAAGGCCTCGAAAATAACATGAGTAGAAACCAATGGGTAAAGGGGTGCAAGATGGAGAGAATAGAAAGATTGTAATCTCTTCTAAGCTTAGCGAATCAAACTGGGAGAAAATATACATATGAAACATCTTGGCCCGTGAAAAAAGGTAACTCACCGTCCAAGATGGAGTTCTGTTCTTCGAAGATGAGTCATAGTCGTCACTCTGTATGTCATGCTTGTAACTTGGTAGAAATCTGATGGGCGGTTCCGTGAACCCAACAAACACTTTTCCTGCGTGAAAAAAAAAAAAAAAAATGTGTTGATTTAATTAATGATGCTTGAAGTTTGGAAACAAAAAAAAAAATTAAAATTACGTTTGGCTTAGTAAAGACGATGTTGAATAAGGGCACTTTTCGGTGAAATAAAAAATAGTACGTCGATTTTAATGGCGTGCTTGAATTCAAAAAACGAAAAAAATGGAAAAATACTTTTCCTTTTGAATAAGGGAAGTTTTCCATGAATGTCGTAGACCCAGGGCCTTGATAATCACAATGGGTGATCAGAACCAAAAATAAAATTACGAAATTTTAACGATAACTGAGAGTAAACTCCAGCAAACTGCCTGAAACGCGGGGAAATGCAAAAGACTGAGTCACTACTAGCTTCAATTTTTACATCTGATTGGCTGAAAAGATCACACGAGCTTTCGGGACCAATCACAGACGGAGAAAAAGTAAATCAAAAAGCAGTGCCGTGTAACTTTCAACGCTCACACTGAAATATCCTTTTCAAAAAGAATGTTTTATTGAGTAATCAAGAATCACCTTGCTCGCGTAGGTCTAGTAGCTGATCCTTTGCTAACAAATCCTGCGAGATAAATAGAATAATAAAAATAATTAGTGATTTTCTCATTTACTTGAGTTTTGTGTGAATGATGGACTGATCAATACTTTAATTTTCCTTCAACTCCCTGAAGTGATTGAAATGTAACTTCTCCTACCATTACAACACACAATCATAAAAAATTATATTACGAGCTCGAGATTTCTATCTAATAATTAAAATAGATTCCACGTTGCAGTGCTTCTGTTCTGTAACTGATCACGGAACATAAAGTGGCACGTGAGGTGCACCCTTAGTTATCTCTCTGAAAAACTCCTCCTTTCCATCCAAACTGCCAGTCAGAGTAAATATCTTCTCCAAAGAAAACAACAACCTCCATCCATGTTATGATCTTTGTATACTAACTTTAAACTCAGGGTTTTCCTGATCTTTATATTTCTCAAGCATCTCATCCACTTCTGATCTACCAAGAGTCACCCTGAAGTTAAAATCTCCCAACCAAAATACTCGATCAAAGTTGGCTGTCAAGTCTGACTCTACAACAAAATAAAACAGAATAGGATCACCCTGAAAGTCAATGCTTTTCATTTCATCTACCTAAATTGAAGCACAATATCATGAACAAGACAAAATGCCAACTTTTAATAGCAGACATCAAGATAAATGTAACTTGGTCAGGAAGGTAAACAAATACTGGAACCTTGGCAGAGTTCAATGTACACTAACCATTAGTTCTATCTGGCTGATTCTCAGGTGATAGTGACAGAGACTTGCAGATTGTCTTGTAATCATTCACACGGTCTAGAACTTTTCCCTCATCAGCTGCAAGACATGAGGCTCTAATGTGAGTTCTAAGATCTATGGTTCAGTTTTTTCTAATCTGAAGAGGCACTGTTAACTCATTTTGGGCAGTGTCGTCACCATTTCTGTGCAACAGAGCAAACTGATCATTTGCTGCCAAACATGTCTTTACAATATAAGTCCGACCATTGATCATGCCAAAGGGGGGTCCTTGGCATACATGACCCCTTCCCCACAAGAAAAAACCCATAGTCAGGAGATTAAACTTCAAAGTCAAACACATGGTTGAAAAAAAATGAAGACCATCTCAGCGAATTTTTTATTGATGACAAGTGACAAGTGAAGACAGAGTTATTAAGAACAATGGCCCATTTTACAGTTGCATACATGGATTCCAAGCCTTTGAACAGGAGTGAGGCAAAGGGTGAACCTGTTATGATACAAATGTTGCTGCTTTTCAAATTTAAATTACCATATAATCATGCCTACTAGATACTGGTCACAATCATAACAAAGCCACCTTCAGCCTCACTCCAAATCAAAGGCTTGGTAACAAAGCACACAACTGTGAAATGGCCTATTTCATTCATCATGAACACTGAATATTAAAAAAAAAGTTGATTTTTCCAAACAATAGTAAGAAATAAACCTAACACAGCAAGTAAAACTTACAGGTAAAGTGAGAATCAATAAAAAGGAATGACGTTCCAAAAATGCTGAATGAAACTGCCAGTGCTCCCTTAGTAGGAAAAAATGTATTTTAGCCAACAAAATTCATTTCTATACTATTAGACACATCACATGGAAAAATGAGATTTAAGCACCATTTTGAGTAGTGAACTAGTACATGTCTTAGTGTAAATGGTAGAAAGAGACATGGGAAAAAATTAGTAAAAAATGTGTATTTTCACCTTGGTTTTTATCATATGTCCCACTCGAGTAGACACACTATCTTCACTAACAGCTATCAAATAAGGAAAATTTAGTTTCAATTAGTATTTTGACAAATTTACACATAAACTGATCTTAAGGTGGTGGTTTTCTTCACAAGATTCTCATGGCTTAGTTGACACTGTGAGTTTACCATGTTAAATACTTTCCAGGGAACTATCAAAATGATTGGGTATCAGGATAGGTGAAAACTTAAAGGCAAAAAAACAAACAAACAAAAAAACAACATTTAAAATGCTCAAAATGAAGTAAAAGGGCTAAATTTTCAAGATAAACAATGCCTTATGATATTTAACATACAGATCTTCGTGAAGATTCTCAACATGATCCTCAAATGTCCCCATGAATGTCTTATAGGATCCTTAAAGATCTTTCAAAGATGTTCCCCAGAGATATTACTTCTGAGGTTAATCATGCTTTAGTAGACAGTAAAGCATCTCCACTTTCCACTTCATGATAAAAATAAGGAAACCCAGCAGCTTTCTTACTACCAGCGATGAAATAAATGAGCTAATTAGTTTGAAGATTATACAAACCAGAACAAAACCAGACAAGTTCTCTTCTGATGAAAATTGCCAAATGCAGCAAACCAAATGAGCAGGAGTACATCAATACATGTGATGGGCCTAGGGTTTCTTGAAGACGGATCTCCCATTCTTTTCTGCAAAGATTGTTTCAAAGGAAAAAAATTGAAGTCAACCTATCCTTGATCATCATGACAATAAACAAAGATAAAATAAAATTCTATGTAAAGCTCATGACACAAAGAGTATAGATGTTACCGCTGCGATGTACTTTCTTGCAAGCCTATGACATAAAGATCTTGTAAAAAGTCAGTTGAGTCTGGGATTAGAAAGTCGTCTAAGTAAAACGGAACTTCCTGTTTGAGATAAAATCAAATCAAAAGATCAAACATGGTAGCTATCATTCAAATTATATATCATGTAATCTTAATAAGAGGAACATAAAATCCCAAAGGGATTGGAAACTAGACAATTCAAAATCACAACATAATTGGATTAGCATTAATGACCAGTCATTACATAAAGTGTATTACATGAAATAGAGCAGAACTTCTCACACTTTCCTAATGTAGCCCAGTAGTTTTTAATTTGACAGGATAACAAATAACAACCTTGTGTTTTTAACATAAAATATCTGTTTTCTCAGAACATCCACAAAAAAGTCCATTCATTGCAGGTAACTATTCAATTAAATATAAGCTCACCTTTTCCTCATGCATATTCCAAGTAGCAACAAATATTCCAATTTTTCTATCAGGCAAATAGCGTTCCATTTCCTCCTTTAAAAAGTTGCCACTTCTCGTCCGTGCCCTTCTTGCTGAGACACGTGGAAGTACCATTGATGTTGCACTACTTAAGAATTCTCCAGTGGGCCAATTTGACAAGTCTGTTTCTGATGAACACCTTTCATTAGTGGCTACCTGCTCTAATGCCTTACTCAGTTGTCGTAGATCAGAAGCAGAGTTATGCTGAATCTTATCCTGATTTTCTTCATTAGGATGTATATTCTCGTATAATCCTGATGAATTTGCCTTTAGAGTTCTTCCAAGGCCTTGCTTAGTTGGATCATTTTCACGATGATTACTCGCCTTGATAGTCACACTCTCATACAAATCAGCTGAGGCAACTCCTTCCCTTTTTGCATTCAATTGATCAGGTAGTGTTGGAAGAGTGGAGTTGGGGTGTCTGTGGTTTCCCTTGCCATCCGATTTTCCTTCAGCATCACTCACACTTAGTGAATTTTCTTCACTGTCACTTACACTGGTTAAGCTGTCATTTGAAGAGGACAATGTAATTTCATCTTCTGCAGGGGTCTCGTTTTTCACTTCAATTGATTGCTCGGATTTTGAATGAATCCATGTAGATTCTGTCTGTGTTGAGCTGTCACCCGTTGACAGAACTTGTTGTGGCTCAACTCTCAAAGGATGAACAACATTCTTTTTCAAAACCTTCTTAGCAAAATCGTTGTTTTTAGCGTTATTCTGATTAGATTTAAAGCTATGAACGAGATCCTTTTCTGATCCGATATCTTTCAGAGGTTCTATTCCCCTAAGATTGCGATTAATACTTCGATTCCTATCGCGAGGGCTTCCTAAAGATTCACTAGAACCAATGCTATCCAAACTTCCCGTGCTACCTCTACGTTTCAAAGGTAACGGATCTAGCGCAACATTCGCAACATGTTTATGACTTCTCCTTTCGTCTTCTGATCCCGACGCAGAGTTTCTGGTTGATTCATTGCGAGTTCTTTTGATTCCTTTTGAATTCAACGCCGCTACACGAGGACTCACTTCGCCGGCAGGTCGCGAATTAGAGCGAGGAGAAGTGGGAGGATGTGGGGCGAATTTCACGTTTTGAGCACTTGCTTCTTTGACTAATAATGGCGTATCGTTGTGTGATGATGATGACTGGAATATATTTCCAGCTGATTGAGACTGCCTTTGGTGAAGAAGCTTTGGTCGTTCAAACGATTGCTTCGTTGCGGTTGTGCGTAGATTATGGTTGAAAAATGAATAATTTCCTCCTTCAGCCATTATGATCCGGCACTATATACATCGCGTAATTTTCCAAATTTAGCGGAATTTCAAAATTCGACAATGAAAGCGGTTAAAATGAAAAAAATTAAAATTGTTATGAGCCTACCATATTGTTTGTTCGCTGGGGTAATCAAGGTTACGAAGCCAAATGATTCGTATGGGAGGAGTACGTGAGGGCATGGTTGTTTATAAAACTTATCTGTAACGTTATATTAGAGGTATACGCAAGAGCAATTATAGTGACAGTTTGACAATCCTCCCCACCCCCAGCCCGACAATTATATTGACTGAAGCCTCGATGCTAAGTCGAAGCGCAATCCAAGATGGCGGACGGAAAGGACATCAAGAAGTTCTTGGCAAATCATCCCCATTTTGAACTTTTCAAAGATGACCAGATGAGAGAAAAGGTATTCCAATTCTTTGATTAATAATTTAGTCTCTTTTTGACACTTTCTTTTCAATTCGGATGGACTTCAGAAAATGTGACAATCTACACCGGCACGTTTGAACTAGAAACAGTACAACTGAGGTTTGTCTCTGAACGGGTGACTACAGGGACTTGTGCGACTCTCCTAAAATGGAAACAGGCTTATGCTTATCTAACCTGCTTTGGGCTTTAACACTTGATCGTTACTTAGATAGAAGAACGATTATCCGCTCGTGACTTGCGGCCACATTTGTTATCGTGGTAGAAATTCATTATGTTACAGTTAACTAAAAAGAGTAGATCTCAAATTCAGTTGTCAAATTAATACCTCTTCTCGAATGGGTACCCCTTTTTAATAAGAGTGCACTCGACGAGCCTAAATTTATCACAGGTGTGCTCTTCAAATACACGCCTGAGCCTCTCAGTATTGAAACCGAAACCGCTGAGGATGTATAATGAATACGGTCGAACCTTGATTATTCGGACGCGTGGGGACTGGACTTTATTGGTCCACACATTCAAGAGTCTGGATAATCAAAAATATGAATATAATTGTTCCTGGATAATGGCACCAGAGAAGTAAGTCTGAATAATTGAAAAATTTGGATAATTGAGGTTTGACTGTAGAGTAAAATCACACTCTACCAGCCCTGCACAATCATACTGTACTTTTGTTATGTGTGTGAAAATGTTAAATGCGGTAAAATATTTGGGGGTTCTAACTAAACTGCTAGTGGAACTCTAACATCAACTATTTAAAATGACTAATTGTTTATGTTGATGTTTATTATCAAATATTGTGATAACAAATGATCAAACTTCTCCGACCCCCACCCCCTTGGTCAAGCACCCACCTTGAGTAAGAGCCCCACATCTTATCTTGGTGGCCTGGGTGCTTCTTGGAGCATTTATAGTCAGCCAACTCTTCCTGTTTATAAGAGAGTCTCGTGCAAATAAAGGGAATACCTCTGCCTTTCATTCGCTTTCCTAAATCTCCATGAAAAAAATTGATTTGGACATTTTTTTACTTGAGTTTTCTTTGTGAGGATGGTTTTATATATTTGTAAAATGTTTTTGATTCTGAGAGAAAGAAGCTGGGACAAAGGGGTCATATAACAAATTCAACACTGTAACACCCTAATATCAGTATGCATATTCTCTATACTATACTTCATAGATTTCCTAAGGTGCTAACAAGGAGAATTTGTTTAACAATCAAGGGGTTCTTTAATTAGTGATTGTTTCCTATATTCTCTTGACCTTCATTAGTGATTCAGAGGTGGTGATGTGAGGAGAAATCAGATGCTAATCACTAGTAGGGGTCCAAGGGGTGGAGGAGGGTGGGTTGCTGGTGGGAGGGTAGATGTAGGGCAGAAACTAAAATCGAACATCTCCAGCTTTCATACTTCTTAGGGTTAGCAGTTTTGAAATTGCATTTGTTCATGCAACCAGTGCAGTCCATCTTGCTGTTTAAATTCTTTAACGAGCTTTCTTTCCTTGTGATGTTAGATCAGATGTAACTTAACAGGACATGAGTTACCAGCCAGACTGCCAGACCTTGAAAACTATATCAAAGGGAAGAAGTATCAGAGACTAATTAAGGAAATTCCTGATGAATCCCCTGGGTATGAAGAATACAAGGAATACTTAGTGCCAAGTGGAAAAAAGGGGTAATGAAATCATATTTGTTATGCTATGATATGTTTGTTGGTAAAGGCAGGAGTACAAAACCTAGAAGATGGTTTTTATGCTTCCAGTAATGGTGTATGTTTACAATAGGAAACCACACCCCTTTCTGCAGAACTTTGGAATGTAAAACTGTGAAAAGAAAGAGTTTGAGTGCCCTGTCAGTTGAAATGGTGGTTATTATTATGATCTTCCAATGTGGATCCAAAATTCAAGAAAGTTTAAGTGTAGTTGCAGTGTAACCTAACTTGATGCACCAATTCAGGTGATTGTGACAGAAAGACAATGGAATACTTTGAATTTGGAGAAAGGGGGAGTCCTGTTTAGCATTCGTATTCCCATTCTTCCTGATTGTTAATTCTCCAACTTTAAGAAAACAAAAAAAGAAAGGGGATTGTCAATGGTCTATTGTAGTAAAGTGACCATATACCCAGGAGCTCAGTCACCCACATTACCAGACTTCTAGTCACTTTCTTTAGTGTAAGCTGATATACAAGGAAACAATAGTTAACTACAGGAAGAACAACCGAGATCTGACATGGATCCCAGTTGTTCAAGTTGCTCCTAAATTCACCATGTAGCAGTTGTCTCACAGAGGAGGAAGCATTTTGGGCACTTAGAATATTACTGTTGGAATCTTTAGTCATAAACATAGACTGTGTTTCCTAATTGTATGGTTTTGAACATTGCAAATCTTGCAGCAATCAGTTACATTGCCAGTTGACCAAGAAATACATTAACAATGTTCCTCATCATATTCAAAGACACATCACAGGAAAACGCTTCAAACGGGCGCTGGAGAAACGTAAGGCTTTGGTGTGCTTTTGTATCGTTGGTGATTCTTATCAGAAATTCAAACTAAATTGAATGATCTTCTCTTGTGTCAGTTAAAAGGGACAAGAAACTTGAATCTGAGGATGCAGATGAAGACATGTGGGTTCCGTCTGACCTTGAATCAGAACCTGATGAAGGGGATGAAGAGGAAAAGATGGACGAGGTTGATTCTGGTGGAGAGTTCTCATCAGAAGGTGGCGTACCATGATAGGAAAATGTTACGAAAATTTAGTTTATACTCTTAGTTTTCCTCCCATAATTGAGAGCTTAGTAGCTGGCCTAAGAATCATTTTCAACAAGTTGCGGTCTGCTCATACGTAATATCGTGGGTTTTTTTTTTTTGTTCTAAGTCTTATTCTGTTCGCGTTTAGTTGTGTCTGCGCTCTCCTGAGAAGAACGTCAGCTCGCTATTAAAGTTTCTCAGTTATCCGAGTATGAGTTGACGATTGTGCTCTGTAGTGTATAACTGTCACTTTTTAGACTACTTCTTCTCTGCGAAGTGTGTCGCGCGACGCAAAAAAAAAAAAAAAAAAAGTGTGTCGCGCGACGCAAAAAAAAAAAAATAAACGGAAACATTTCTTTCCATTTTCTTCCTGATTGATTTGAACTCGGGCGATGTACTTTGTAGAGACAGAAGGACTCCTCTCAGTCTACCGTTAATGAAACGAAAATTATTTTGTGATGTGTTTCCAAGTTAAGTACAAGCCTTTCGTTCTTGTTTTGATGCTGTTGTTGTAGTTATTGTTTTTTTGTTTTTTTTTTTTTTGTAATTGAAGTCCCTTTTGGAGTACCTTTCTTCTAACAATTGATTTTGTGTTCAGATGAGGATGATACATATGAGAGAAAAAATCAAACTGGATTGAAAAGGACACTGAAGGTGAAGTAACTTCCTCTGAGTCAACATTCTGAATAAGAATTAACTGAAGTTGGTTTTAGTTTTTTTTTTTTTTTTTTTTTTCTAGCAGTGTTTCCCTTTTGTCTCCTGCGCCTATATTTTGTTATCAGTATTCAACGCAAGAATTACGCTCTTGCTCAATGACAGATGTCAACTCCGGCTAATTTGAAATGCAACCACGTTCTCTCTTTTTCTTCATGTACCAAGTTTTCACTTTAAATGTCCTGGGTAGGCAGTCTAAGTTTCTCTTCTTATGTCTAGTGGAACAAAACACATTTTTTTGCTGACTGGCTCGGTATTCATCATTCAATTTTACATTAACATGGTAGCATTTTTTCGCCAACAGGAAACTAGCAAGAGTGAACCAGCGAAAAAAGTTAAGGGAAGCGTAACTGAATTTCTACCAAAGGACGAGGGCATTAAAAACCGTAAAACAAAAAACAGGAAGAAAGCGATGAAATCATAACCAGCGCACCTATGACTGAATCTTTTTCAAATATCTGCCTCCTATTGAAGCAAGAGCGAGCGTGACATCAGTATTGTCGATGTTACACCTCCGAACGTTGTGTGTATCACGGAAGCGTCTAGCTTCCTTGGGGAAAGTTATAGGATACAGTTTTTACAAGTTGTCAAGAGAGGACAAGGTTTGCTTTAGTCTTTGAACACGAGTAGTTCGACCTCACTCAAAGGACAAATAAGCTGATTGAGAGGCGAAGAAAGCAAAGGCAAACAGAGAATGTGCATGGTAGTTTTACTCTCTTCAGGGTAATTGTATTTTCAGAAGAGATGACCAAGTACAACTGAATGATGTTAATGAGTAGGAATAAAACTGTCTCATTTCATGAAGCAGAGCGTGAAGTGTCCCATCATGATTCTTAGCTTTGTTTTCTATGAACTAAGAACTACAATTTTAACATTACTACATAGCTTTAAATATTTTGCTAGCTACAATGTTTTTAAATGCAATTATCCATTGCGGCTTTCAAGAAGACGTGCGACCTTTTAAAAATGTACCCAGTTAGTGAGATTGTTTAAACAGCAGATAAAACGCGGATGTTGAAAATAAAAGGCCCATCTCAAGAGTCACCGCGCATCATGTGCGAATATGACGTAAATGCTCGCAGTTTAAAGTGCGCTAAAACTGAACGCACGCTATATACAGATAAATGAAATAAAACGGGTGTTTTCTTAATTTAAAGTAACGAATTAAAAATGGTGGGTTAAAAACAAAGGAATTTCTCATTCATCAAACCCAGCTAGGCCCAGTTTCCTCACGAGCAGTCTTACGGCTTCCAAAGGATCCTGGACCATATCCAGCCGTCGTTGCCATTTTACTGGATTCGATTTCTTTCCTTTATAAGGCGTGGGTGGGGCAAACTGGCAGGCGCTCTTCTCGTTAACCTTGTTTCGCTTAGCTTCCAGTCTGTGATTTCGTTCCGCTATCTTGTGAACACTCTTGATGTCTTCTATAGTCTTTGCCATGTTGAGAATATGTTGAGTGATGGATGAGTCTCGGCATAAGACAACAAGAAGGCAGCAAGTTTTAGCGAAGAGGGCAGTTTTGTCTCGGAAGTTTGCTAGTAGCTCAACCAAGGTTTCGATGGAATCTGGTTGCTCATAAACAGCATAGTAAACTGACGGGTACTGTGGAAAAGAAGACAGCTAATAATTATGCTGGAGATTTTTTATTATCTCTGTCACGTTCTCGTTTGTTCCAAAGGATGAAGGTTAATGCTCATAAGAGCAGAGGGACGTTTTTTCTTACCTTTGCCACATTAAATAGTATTGATATGGAATATTTAATGACTTCTAAGTGAGGTAAACTGCGGTTGCACTTCTTGATTACTTTGAATATAACAGGCAGTGCACCATCTTTCACCACCTGCTGGCAGCAAACCTCTGACAGACGAGTTACAACCTCTGAAATACAAACGATGACAACGGTTAATGGCACAGTTCTTAGGAAGACGCAGCTTTCCGTTCGGAGTAGAAGCTACATGCAGCTTTCGACCGACAGCGCTAATTTGTCGAATAGTTTGTCGTGGAAAAATGTGTTTATCTCAAAAGATGCAAAACAAAAAGTAATTGCAACTTTTTTTCGAATTATCGAGTTTCCAGATGGGATTTGAATCCACGACCCTCCGTGATCTAGTCGGATGCTCTAACCACTGAGCTACAGGAGACTCTATGGTGAGCAAGGGTCAATTAGTGGGTATTGACTGGAACCGCATTTTTTTGGAATTTGTCGTGGAAAAATGTGTTTATCTCAAAAGATGCAAAACAAAAAGTAATTGCAGCTTTATTTCGAATTTTTATCGCTTGAAGTTCAGGCTTGTTACACATAATTTGTTTTGAGATCTTCAGCTTCCTTTTGATATTTTTTCTTGCTGTGATTAGACTTCATGATAACCTTAAAAAACTGATTATTTTTTCACGTGTAACTTACCCAGGTTAAAAAAAAAACTTACCCAGGTTGACAAGCGCCCCCACTATCTTGCTGATGTTCTTACACTGCAGTAGGAAGTCAAGGGCGGACCTTGTACGGTTACAAAGCTTCATTGATTCAGTTGCTGCGGCATTTGCGGACTTGATCCGCTTTCGCGCTCTTTTAACCTTTAGGGATGACTCTTCACGCCGAACTCGGTAGCCTCGCCACAAAGCCTTCAAAAGAAAAGAAAGAAAAAGAAATCAGCGATACTAACATCTCGTGTAGTCATTGCTCAACAAAAAGTGAGGACTAGACAAATTATGTCAACACAAATGGCGTATTTCTTACCTGTATTCTCAGCGCATATTTCTGAAGTTTTCGTAAATGATTCCTTGCCAAAACGCCTCTGATAAGGGACTGGATCTTCACTGCGCTTTTGTTTTTCGTCACCAGTTTCCTCCGCGCTGCTCTCTGTACAATAACCGCGGCTGAGCGAAGAGTGGTAAACCTCCGATGTTCGAGTACACCCCGCCACCAACACTGAGGGAAGAAAACATAGCCACTCTTGTGAGACCATTGTCCTTACTTAGTTCCTAGTTAGATAGAACAGCTGTATAAAATTAAAGCCAAGGGATCACTGACTTCAAAGAATAATTAAAGAACTCGAACTTCTCTCTCTCTCTCTCTCTCTCTCTCTCTCTCTCTCTCTCTGACAAAGAACAGGCATGCAGATAACAATACAAGTACAGCAACAAATTTTGTCGTTTTGTGCCAACAAAATGTTCTCGAATGATCGATCATACCTGGATTAAAAGAACAGCATCCATACGCGCTTTTGCCACGGCTATCGCGCGTGCTCGCCGATAACACCGCTGGATTTTGATGGCTTTCAGATGAAGATATGTAACTGACGCAAACTTGTTTAACTGTACCAAACGCTGCGCCTTCTGAAACTGGTAAAGACAAGTATTGCAAAAACAGTAGCGATCAGTTAGAACTAAAACTCAGGTTAACGTTTGAAGACTTAAATTAAGTAATGCGTTTTTTTTTTTCAGAAATGCAATAGCTGGTTTGAACCCAGGAGTAACTGTTGAACGTGAGTCTGACCATCTGGGTGAGCGTAGCCTTTGAAAGGATTGTGTGAACTCCTGAGAGTGAATTCAGAAGTTGTTTGTTAGTCAAGTGATCGAAGTTCACTGATAATCAAAAGTTAAACTTACGAATGATGCACGATCCTCGCAGTAGAGAGCGCTATTTATGCATACATATCTACTACGTATCTAATACCGCAGTTCAAAATATATGAACTTCATATATACATTGTAACCAAAAGTTAAACTTGTTCATTACTTCAGTTATAAACTCGTTTATTACTTCAGTTGTAAACTTGTTTATTACTTTAGTTATTAAACACATGAAAACGTATCTAAAAGAAACTCTTACTTTTATCTTCCTTCTTGTGATAAATCCTCTGAAAGCTGCCTGAATGACACGAGCAGCGAACATTTTACGAGCGGCCATCCGCACGCGGTATCCACGGAAAGCTGCCTGCAATATGACAGTAGCATCCTTGAGTCTTTCATATTCTTCACGGGTTGTTCTTCCTGCCAAAATACCCCGGAACCATCTCTGAATCTGAATCACAGCCTTCAGTTGACGAACAGTGTAGCGAGCCTTCCGGCCTCGGTAAAAGGATTGAAGAGTAACTGCTGCACGTTTGATTTCTTGAAATTCTCTTCTTTCCTTTCGTGAGGCAATTTGGGCTCGCACTTTTCTTTGCAGAAAGACTGTGGCGGCTTTAAGTTTTAAGTAACTCTTCCGATAGTACCAGGCCCTTGTCAAGGCTTGTATTCTGATCACGACATGTTTAGCGTGGTAGTATTTCTGCCTCTGTATCATTCCTCGTGCATGAGACTGAATAAGTATGGCTGATCTCAGTTTCTTCACTTCAGCTCTTACTAGGCAACCTCGGTAAAAGCTCTGTGTATTAATGAAATAAAAGGAAATACTACTTCAGCATGACTTACTCGTAATATTTCACTAAGTAACCAGTTAAAATTAAAACAGTTCCTGTTTCCTCATTGAGAGGGGCTAGGAACTTTCCAAGAGTATTATTTCCTACAACCAAATAAAAACATCTGAGAAGGAATGGTCCGTTTCAACTACCTGGATTCTAGTGACTGCCCATTTCATCAGATGGAATCTCAGACGGACGCCCTGGCCGATGATGAACGATCGATACCGACATTGAATGACAATGACTGCCGTGCGCTTATGAAGAAACTTCGTCCTTTGTAGATGCATCCGTACCAAAGACTGAACCAGCACTACCTTTTGTCGGTCACAAAGATAAGACTTCCGCTGACAGTAACCTCTGTAATACAACTGAATAAGGACTATAGAGCGTCTGAGGCACTCATACTCTGCAGAGATCTTCCTCATTGCTACTTGTGCTCTGTACCGTTGTTGAATTGCAACGGTTGATTTTCGTGTTCTTACAAATTGCTTTCTGGTTTGATTGCGACGCACTGTTGCCTGCAGTCTGCAAACAACTTCCCTTACGCTCAAGAAATTTCTACGTTTGACTGTTCCACGATATGCTGCCTGTATCTTAACAACAGCTCTGAGCCTGCGTGCCAATTTCTGCGCACGAACCATGCGGAAAGCAGACTGCAAAGTGATGATTGCACCACGGGTCACGTGATAGGTAAAGTGAGTTTTCTCCATGAGGCGAAATCCACGGTAGTACCGCTGAATCTTCAGGGCAGCTGTTCGCCGTCTCTGTTTCTCTAGCAGCATTTCAGCAACACGCTGTCTTGCTCTAAATCCACGCAGATGCGATTGTATGACGATAGCGCCAAGACGCATCATTTCGTAACTTTGACGCTGCCTTTTGCAAAGGTGATTAGCTTTGTAAATCTTCTGTAATGAAATGGTGGCATTCTTGAGCTTTTGATAAGCCCGAACTCCTTTCGTCATGCGCGCAAAAGCTTGTATCTTAATGGCAGCATCCTGAGCTCTCTTGTATTTTCTCCTGGCCGAGGACATTCTCCAGTAAGACTGTAGGACAACAGCGGCGCCCCGCAGCTGCAAGAAACCTTCTCTTTGTGTATAAGACTTAACGCCAGCTCGGAAGTGTTGCTGGATGGTGATTGCTGCTGATCTGATAGCATTGTATCGTCGTCTGCATTGCCATTTTCTAATCCAAGTCTGCAACACAATGCATGCCTTCCTCTGGAGAATGAAACACTGTCTGGCCTCCTGCATGTCCCTCTGAGCCCGGAATCGGCGCTGAATCATAGATGCAGCGTGACGAAGGTTTAGATAGGATCGTCGTGCAAAGTAGCGTCTTACTTCTGCCTGGATAACAACCACAGAAGACTTCTGGAGAAGATAATTGGAGGCACACACATAGCGGCGATAGGCGCTTTGGATCTTGACTGCTGCCTGGTTACGTTTCAAATTAAGTCGCACCTTGTAATGGCGATAACTTGATTGGATTATGAGAGAAGACGACTTTAACGCATTGTAATTCCGTGCGACTGCTCGACCGAGAAGCCAAGCGCGCCATCGCAGCTGTAAAATCAACACAGCTCTCTTAGTAGCTTCATATCGTCTCCACGCCTGAAACCCGCGAAAACAAGCCTGGATTTTCACAGCGGCATCATTCATGTTGCGAAGCTTCGTTCGCACGAGGTATCCTCTTATAGCCATCTGTAAAGTGATGACTGCGCCGCGGATGAAGTGAAACACAAGTTGATCGTGCTTGCAGAGAATTGTCGCCCTATACCTCCGTTGAATTACAAGGCTTGCCTTTTTCAAGCTAATGAACCTCTGCCGTTGTTGTATCATACGTGTTTGAGCTTGTATTCTCACAACAGCTCTTCTAAATGCGAGGAACTCTTCCCTTGCTTTGTGCATCTTAAATGTCGCCTCGATCAATCTTGCCGCGCGAACTCTTCGCGCCAGTCTTCTGTCTAGCCATCCACGCACGCAAGCCTGGAGATGAATCGCTGCACGTCTACTAGCAAGGTAACGTTCCCGTTGGCTCCTACAGTTAACTGTAGCTTTGTACTTTCGTTGAATGACTATCGCAGCGTTCCTCACTTCAAGGTATCTCTTACGATAATGGTAGCCACGCGCAGCTGCTTGTATCACGATGCAGGCACCGCGTTGCACGTGATAATTAACATACTGACGCATGCCAATCACGCGGGCACGGTACCGACTCTGTAGCATCACAGTGGCTTTCTTGAGCTCGTAGTAGTATTTCCTCGTTAAATAACCACGAGCAAATGCTTGAGCATGAATAATACAGTTACGAGAAATGTTGTATGACTTTCTGGATTGGTATCCACGATAAGCAGCTTGAATTTTCACGGCACTTCGCAGACGTTTGACCTGTTTCCTTGCTCGGAATCCGCGGAAGTAAGATTGTATTTGCATTGATGCGAGTTGGAGGCGTTGGAAATTGGAACGAGCATGGCGGCCAAGGAGAAGCGAACGGTAACGACGCTGTATATTTATAGCAGCCTGTCTTGATGATCGATACCTAGTGCGAGAAACGTACCCTCTGTAGACAGTCTGGATCAGAGTAGCTGATCTGTGTTGGGCCATGAGACGTCTACGGCCAATGTTACCCCGGACTAAAGCCTGAAGTTGAACAATAGTATCAAGGATGCGGTTATACTCGACCCTCTGGCGGCGTCCCTGTTGTAGAGCGCGGTAGTGCGTCTGGATCACAACAGCAGCATGTGTTAGCGCCAAAAACTTCTTTCTACTTAGAAAACGACGCGTTAGTGATTGAAGGGTAACGGTGGCCAACCTGACTCGAGTAAACTCCTTCCTACACCTGTAACCTCTGTAGTATGACTGGATCTTTAATGCAGATAGCTTCATGTGCACAAATTTCTTTTGTACACTCTTCGCATAAAGAAATTCTCGAAATCTTCTCTGGATCTTCACAGTAGATGAAAGCAACTTTCCGTAACGTGACCTTGCGAGGCACTTCCTGACAATGGACTGAATCATTACGATGGCTTTTCTCTTCTTTAAAAACACCTTCCTTTGCTGATCACATCTGATTAATGACTGGATCTTAATGCAAGCAGACTTTTGATTCATGTACCTGATCTTTTCTTTCCGTCCGAGGAGAGCTGCTCTGATATGGACTTGTAAAGTTCTCGTTGCACTTTTCACACGCGCAAACTTCTTTCGCGTTTGATACATTCTAACGTTAGCCTGTATCATGGTAGCTGCATGTTTCATTGACACGAATCTTGTGCGAGTTTGCCACGCACGCACATGGCTTTGAATTGTGATAACCGCACGAATTTGCTTCACGCGTTTTCGATCGCACATACCTCTGTATAACGATTGTAGCAAAATCACGCACTTCCTCAAATGAAGATAGTGTTTCCTTTCTTTTCTCTCAATCACCAATGCCCTGAAGATTCTCTGAATAAGCACAGTCGAGTTTCGAAGGAGCAAAAATCGCCTACGCTGTATGACTCCTCTGATGAAGGCTTGAATCCGAATACAAGCCTCTCGTTGCTCAACAAACTTCCTCCTCTCCGCAAATCCTCTCCAAGCAGACTGTCCTACTTTCGCAGCCCGATCTCTCCTTCCTTTTCGTTTCTTCTGATTGGCCAATACAATACGCTGAAGTCGTAAAACAGATTTTCGGAGGCTTCTGTACCATTCAAGGACCTCTCGACCTTTTTTGAAGGCCAGGTAGCGGGTCTGGATGCAGTTCACAGCCTGGCGATGAGCACGAAGTTGTCGACGAACCAGGTGACCACGAAACACGGACTGAACAAGAACAGCAGAATGTCTCATGGCTTGAAATCTACGTCGCGTCATAGCGGCTCTGGCACATGCCTGTGAGAGAAGACAATGCCATTTCAGCTGAACAATTCTGCTAGAACAAAAGCGTGTTTCTAAAGTTGAAATATCATCGCAAAATGGAGTACGCAATACAAAAAGGATGTTTTCCAACTAACTGCAGTTCTTACAGTTGTCTCATAAAGTATGTCGTACCTGTATAGAAACAACTATCTTCGCAACATTCTAGAAAAAACAAAAGGAAAACAGAAATGTTATATAAGAGAAAACGCAGTAAACGAAGTAAAACTCTAGCAAATAAAGGTGATTATCGTGAATATGGAGATCAACTTTTTTAAGGTTCACGTAACACTGGCCAACCTTTTTCAGCTCCAATCGCCTTTTAAGGCGAAATCGTCTCCAGGCCATCTGAATACAGCGCGCAGCCTTCGTCTCCTCGCGTAGATCCAATAACCGCGCACACAGATAAGCTACATAAGTAATGACAACCTAAGAAATAAAGTGCATTGGGTTTTAAATGGAATGTTAAGAAGTCCTAAGCCGTTGTAAAAAAAATGCATTTACTTACCTTCTCATCAGGAATTGTGTAAGACATGTCGGAGGCCTTTGTCATCAAAGGAACTCCACCCAGTTCTCTTACCTGAAGCAGACAAACGCACAAGCATTCGTAAAATGAAGCTAATTCATTGCCCTCGTGAACAAGAGTCTCCAAACTACAGAGTTCGTGCTTTTTCAATATCATAAGGTTCTATATCTTTCCGTGATTTTTTCAAGGATCTCTTTGATGTTTCCCAAGAGCTTCGATAAAAAAAAGTTGGTCTCAAAATACTGTTAAAACGTTGATATAGGGTAGGAATATTTCGTTGTTTTTCAGCAAAACCTCAATACGTAATCACTTTCCATGACTCACATTTAAATTCCTAACTTTCCAGAAAAGGAAATTTGTGGGATTCCATAATTCATACCCAAAGGTAGTTATCGGAAGGTCGTAGGATCGTCTTCGTAGCAGCCGAAAATTCTTTTATTCCGAATGTGACATTCTCATAGCCCAAAAATATTACCCTTCACGTAAAAAAAGATAAGTCATTTTATCAATCTATAGCATTTGTACTTGTACTCGCCTTCTCTGCCATTGTACGGAAGTTTTCGCGCTCATTGTTTTTCAGTTCCTCAAGAAACGAATTTGTTCCACAACCTGAAAGAATAAAAGGGAATATGAATTCTTAATAACTCTTTGCCTTAAAGTTTTGAAATTCGGGGATAAAAGAAAATTTTTTCGATAGCAATTCGATCACCGTTGTGAGATAAATTTACAACTTCCTCAAAGGCAATCCAAACTGAATTAAAAAAACTTACCCGGGCTGAATATTGCAGTCCATGAGTTCACTCCCAATCCTTCCTCACCCTCACTGTCACTTGTGTCGTGTACCCCCGGATTATGGGTCAAACTAGTTTGTTCTTTGATAAGTGACCGGGGGAGTAGTGAGGGGTGATAATAATGGAGAAGGTAGCACAGAGCACGACCATCCGAAAATGAAACAGTGAAGTTTTCGATCTAAAGGAATGAGAATAAAATTGCTTCAAACGGTGACCTTGTAACTGGTTTGCATTCTTTCCTGGTTTTTGTGAAGATTGACAACAAAGCTGGAAACCTTTACATGCAACATACGCTTTCGAGTAAAGCATAGTTAAATCTAAGTTACAGTCTTACCTTCAAGCCGTACAATCTGCAAACCATCTTGCACCATTTAAAAAGCAAGCGCAACCGGTCTGACTGGAAATACAGGTCTGACGAGTCCCGACGTTTTCCGACGAAATCTGCTTCGTCTCCCTCAATCCAGTTCTCAGCGGCAGTTAACTGATCGCGGAGAAGCCTGGTACTCTCTAAATGAGCTATTTCCTCCTTGAGAAGTTTTTCGCTCAGAAGAACATTTACCTGTAAGAAGGTTTTCAGAGAAAATGCGGTGTTAAGAAAAAAATAACTCATTATATTAATAGTAAAATATGATATCATCGTACTTATCTTGCAATTAAAGGTGTAGTTAAATGGGCGGAGCCCTTTTGGGCAAGACCTTTAACTGTTAAACTGCCCTTGCCACACATGAGTATGAGCAGACATCAAGGAAACTGTCAGAGGAACTTGACAAGTTCCTGGGGTGAGGGGTGGGGATTTTACTGTACAGTATCCCTATTCAGTCACTCGATGGTAGAAGAATTGGAATAATCTCAGGTAGCATAGAGCTCAACGCTGATAAGAACTTAACGTTTTTTTCAAGTAAAACTTACCTGAAAGTGAAAAATAATCTGCCACAGCAAAGCAAGCGTTTTCTCTCGGTGTCCATCCACGATATGGCGCGCATCAATGGCACCACCTGATAAAAGTAGCAATGAAATTTAACCTGCAGGAGAAGCAGTTTTATGGTTCTAGCGAAGTGTCTCAATCCTCCACCGTGATAGAAAATGCGAGTTTTGAGCAAAAAGAAAAACTAAACGAATAAATGGACTAACACGAAGATGAAGCGGCGCAAGTACGGTAGGAAGGCGGGAGACAAATGGGCATATCCTTAATTTGAAACGTACTATTCACTGTTTCCAAAACTAGCGATCTAATGGAGATTTAGAACATAGCTAGCAGAGTCGCGCAATCAAATTCACTGTACGTAAGCGTGCTCAAAATCCTGATAGTGCACGCTGATAGCGTCAGCAAATCCGACCTCGCCAGAATTTTTTTTTTTCGCGCGAGCGGCCATTGTTAGCGCGGGGAAAAATAATACATTTCGCGACAATAATGGATACAAAAGAAACTCGGCCTACTAGTCCGAAAAGGAAGACAATGTTTCGACCTTTTCCCTTGGGCTAGAGTTCTTAAATGAGGCAGAAAAAGAGAAAAACAAAGGAAAAGGAGACGGCATCAGCGCCGTCACGATTCGCTTCAACTGATATTGTTGTCCGTTTTTCGCGTCGGATTTTGATGCACAATTCCACCGGCTATGTTCTAAAACAATTGGTTCATGCTTTCAGCTGTGCACTATCGAGTTATGGAGCACGTGGGAAGTTTGGAGAGCACGAAAGAAGCTAGAGTTGCCCTCGGCTATCGCCTCGGGCAACTCTTACTCTTCTTTCGTGCTCTCCAAACTTCCCGCGTGCTCCATAACTCGATAGTGCACGCTAAAGCATGAACCAATTGTTAAATATACACAAGGAAATCGAGACTATTGACTCCTCGTGCTCTCCTATGCGCTACTTCACACACGAAAAAAAATAGTCTTACCATGAATTCCTCCAACAAGAATGCCTCTTTGTTTCAATGCGTTTATAAAAAGGTCCACGTTGTGAATTTTCTGAAAACGAAAAGGTTGAAGAAATACTCAAGGTACTGAACAAAGAGTTATGTGGCATTTGCTTATGAAGATTTGTCCTTAACTTCATAGAGAGGCCGATGAGAATTCAAAGTAAAAATAAGCAAACTGCACCAGGAAAAACGCGATTGGCCAAGTCGTAATGGGTTCTGGTTTTTAATCAAATTGGTTGAGAGCTTAGCGCGAGTTTTCTGAACCAATCAAAAAGCAAAGTGAAGCAAAACCGAAACAATCCGTATGAATTTCGACATTTTATTGAAAATATATCTATTATTACTAACAGTTCCTGAATTACTACCTGTAATCTGGAAATGGCTGGAACACGAAGACTTGCTGACAACTGCCAATTATGGGTCAAAAGCTCAACCACGCGCCTGCAGTATTAAAAAGGAAACAACAGTCAATCTCTGGATTTTTCGTCTCATCTAAACGGCGATTTGTGCTATAGAGAATTCACAACTTCATATCGCAACGTAGGTACCCAACTTGGTAAGACTGAAACTACTCACGTTAGACGCAGACCGTCTCTAAGATCTATCGCGATGTTCTTCACAGCGTAATCCACTTCGTCGATCGGTCTCTGGAGGGCAAGAAATTTTGAAATTGATATTTAAATTAACTTTTTAATTCAAAAGCCCAGTTTCAAACATCTGAAGTCGATTTTATAATTCTTCACATGGATTTTGTTACCTGAGAATGCGTGACGGAATAACCCAAGAAGTTCAAGTGCTTTGTCACGTCACCTTCTCCCTTAAGATACTCACGGGAGAACGTTAGTAGAAGACTGCGGTTTGACTGCGATAAAAAAAATAATAAACAATCAAACAAACAATGGAAATTGATAAGAATCTTTGTAAATTCAAGTCCATCCAACAACATTTGGTTAAGTTTGAGAGAATGCCATGCAAAGTCATAACTGATGATCTCACAAAAATTGATTTTCCTTCCTGTTTACAGCACCAAACAGAAACCCGTGCCGGTTGAAATAAACGACCTGCTTCGTTAGTGCGCGCACAAACCTTGAATGAAGCATCCTTGTTGAAGAGACACGGGTCATGATCAATAAGCCGTGTCAATTTCGCACGATCCAAAAACAACACCAACAAGAGAAACTTCTTTAGGGTAAACTTTCCCAGCTGCTCCACGTAACCTGATGGGGTATAGAAAAAAATAGCATCTAAGAGGCTCTTATCAATGCTGTCCACTGAAAAATGGTAACGCTGTGTGGATGTTCCTGCAGTGTTCCTGGTCGTACGTGCTTAACAAAAAGCGTACATAATGGACGCACAGTCGTACTTCTGTTGGAAAATATTTTTTCATTTCATAAGTCGCCAAATGTTCCTAGCTATGGTGCTACGCTGTGCGCACGCTTCGGGCTCCGCTATCAGCTTGACGGCTCAGAAAATCAAGAATAAATGAGGATGCTTGCCGCGAAAGCACAACAAACAAACATTATTGGACTTTTTAAAAATGGGATTCGTACTCTTTTAAAATCATAAATTAAGTGACTTTCCATTACGATCGAACAATGAAGGCAGTTTTTCTTTATTGTACTCAAAACGTAATTTTCAGTAATCTTCCAGAACTTTCTACGACCTCAAATTTCATTACTTTCTTGGCCTGGAAAATGACTGTGTAATTCCACGACTTTTTCAACTCCAGTGTAAGCGCAGTTGAAAACAGAAAAAGAAAGAAGTTTTTTTATCTATTTGAATGTACCTTCTCGATACAACCCTGGGACCTGTGGATGTGCAAATGCAGTGGCAATATCCGGATTACCAAGTAATCTGTCTGTGATAAAACGCCTCAGCCCATTTACGTCATCGTTTGAGTGGATAGGGAGAATTTCACCAAATATGGTCTGAAAAAATACAAAAAAATGGAAGAGGATTTAAATACTTTAAGCCCTGAAAGGACAAAGTAAGAGAGAAAAAAACATTATCTTGCCGAGGAAAGTTAGCAGACCTCTACAGTTCACAATCTTCACTTTTTTTTCAGCTGTGAAAACAAATGTCTGCATGGTGATCACTAATCAAACAACTGAAAGGTATTCTGAACCGACTGCTGACTACAATTTAACAACACCAGAAAAAGGAAGCTTTGTGCTGGACTGTTCCACTTGTCTGCATTAGGTTGGCAAGGAAGGTCAAGCTAGTTGTTTAAGATCGGTCACACAGCACAGTTAAACACTTAGACCTTGATTCACTCAAAAATTGCTACAGTCGGATCCATCATGTTGTTAAGGAAGGTGAAGCTAGTTCTTTAAGATCTTGGAAATTTCTCTGAGACCAAACTTTCGCTCATTGGATGTGGATTTTGTACCATAACGGCTCTGTTTTGCTGCTTCCGACTTTCACAGTTGGACCAAAGTATATCTTAGGAACCGCGGCAAAGTGGGTCATTTTTAGAGTCGGTGGATCAGGTTCAGGAGAAAGAGGTAATTTACAAAAATTCTTGAACGGACTGTACCATTGAGCACGTTTCGAATAAACTTTGTTGACGAGCAACTGTGGGTAGTTTTCTTGGACGGGTGTTAGACTCGGATCCATCATGTTGTTAAGGAAGGTGAAGCTAGTTCTTTAAGATCGGTCACACAGGGACCGCGCAGGGGCGTGGGGCTGGGGGGACTTTAGCCCCCCCCCCCCACACTTTTTTGGCTGATTAGATCACCACACTTTTTACTTAGAAGTTAGTCTATTCATTTAAATTTGGTCAAATGTGAAGGCCAGTTTGTTACTCGTTGTTTATAAGAATTGAAAATTAACTTCACTTTTGGCAGTTTTAGATCCATTTCTAGCCATTTCAGAAGACTTTGATTTCATATTTTCCCGGGAAAGCATGGCCCCCCCTAGTTGGCTCATGCTAACGCATTCGCATTAGTACCCCCACTTGAAAATCCGCTCCGCGGACCCTGTCACATAGCACGGTTAAGCAACTAGACCTTAATTCACTCAAAAATTGCTACAGTCATTGGGATCATTTACTAACTGCCACGGAGCAGAACGAGAGTGTTCCTGAGACAAGACAGTGTCTTGTTACCATCTTCATTACCTCAAGTCCAATCCGCAGCCATAATGGGTTGTAAGACAAGATCATGTCAGTAACTTGCTTCTTGATTCCTTAAAAACACAGGAGACAAAGTGATGCCATCAGAACTTCCTTCAATAGGAGCAAGGGTGGGTAGTGAAATGCTTTCAGAGGGCATATTTTAGCCCCTCCCATTGATCATCCTAAACTTGCATCTCTCCAGAATATGGAGACATGCAGGGAATTGCCACTATTTTTTTTGTTACTATAACAACACACAGGGTTCACTTTATCCCATAGCCTTCCATTAACCACACCCTTTTCCCTTTTTTTATGCATAAGTGGTTTGCATATGTGGATCTCCAGGAAAACACAGCATAAAGGAGAATAGGGTTGTTACACTAACAAAAGTCAGCAAGGCTTCTTTAGAAATGGATTGGAACCAAAAAATGAAACTGGATTATTGACATATGCATAAGATTCTGCAAATCAGAAATCAGATGTGAAATAATTACACTGTGGGTTGCAATTAGTTTGTGACTTTGTGGTTTCCCTTGGCATGTTTTCATCTTGAATGAAACAGGTCACAACAGAATAAACAATTTTGAAGTATTTCATAGGCTCGCAGTTGCCTGAGTTTGACAGTTAAGTCTATAGAGCATATGTCTGGTTTACATGTAACTATCTATATTGTAATTCTTGATTTACCACTGCTATGTCAAATGTGTAAACCAACCTAAATCTGCATGTAACTTTTTGTCTGGTCTGATGGTAAATCGTCCATTTTCCACCTCGGCTTCAATCTTTCTAATTATGTACCCCAAGGGTTCTGATTGGTACAACAAACAGGCACACCTTCTTAAACGGGCCATCTTACGCCTAGCAGTGTAGGCCCTAAGGGAGAGGGCCTCTTTAGTTGGGGCTAAAGGCTGAGACTTCTTTATGTCTTGAGTTCCTCCAAGGATCATATTTCCTTTCATAAGAATTAAAAATACATAATTAAATATTTTTATAAAAAGGTTTGTATCCATTTTCTGAAGGTGTTCCTCTAGAGCTACTGGGACACTTACGATTTGTCCAAACTGGTCAAAGAGATCAGATAACAAACAGATAACAAATAACCATGAATTCAGTTATGGATTTGGGGTGCCCCACAAGATCACTCAATATACAAATGGTATCCCATTTTGCGATGAGGTGTATTCAAATTAAAAGAACCTTTCAAAAAATATCTATTCCTGCTTTGTAATTTATTTGTTGAGTACAATAGAGCAAGCTTGGGTACTCTGCAAAGTTACCTCTACTGGCATCAGCTTGTACTTCGGAATCTGTTACGTCAGGTGGTGTCAGCACAAAGTTCAGCCATTTAGTGAAACCTGGAAGACAACAAAACAATGAAAGGCTAAGCCAAACCCCTCTGGTACGACACCCCACTGCACATTTCCTCTGGCAGATTTAAGCTTGACACAAATTTTTTTCAGAAATTTCAATGCCCTTGATGATGTTTTACATACAAAATTAATGCATTAAAGAGATGTGAAAGTATAGTGTGATCGTCCGGGTGAGTGTAGTCCTGAAAAGGGCTGTTGTCGGTGGTAGTGACTGACGTTTCGACAGCCTGTGCGGAAGTCATCATCAGAGTCAAGTAAATAGTTGTTGTCATTAGAATGTTCTTATTTCAGTTCATGTAAAATGATTGGTCAGTTTTGCCGTGATGTTATTGGCTGTAAGACTCAAGTGGCGTAAGTCCGTCGTGATTGGTCTGTTTTGATCCATCAGTAAAGTTAAGGCATTCTGTTCGGTTCGTTTGTAATGTTTATGTCGTGAATGAGTCGTTTGTATAGGGCCAGTAGTAGTTGACGCCTGTTTAGGGGAGTCTGTTCTAAGTTAGTAAACCAGCTTTCAAGAGTCAGTCGTTGAAAGTAGTCAGTGCTGTAGGTTAGGCATTGCGCAGAGTCCCAGTCAATATTGTGGTCAGTCACCACCACCAACAACAGTCCTTCTCAGGACGACACTCACCCAGATGGATCGATCACACTACACTTTCACACGTTACCCCCGGGTTCAAGCCATTTACTGCATTAAAGAGAGATGAGAAAATTGGCTATTCTCTAATTTTGGAAGGTCCTAAAAACTGTGCACCAAACATTGCAACTTTAAAAAATCCCAACGAACAACCAAAGTTATGAATTCTTCCCCTAACCATAAGAATACTAAATGGAGTAGAATTTAATTTAGTGGCAGCCTGTATGAAATTAAAAAAATATATATATATATATATACATAGTTAAAAAACCAGCCAACCATGTATGATAAACATATTTCCAATAATACCTGAGTAAATCAACGATATGGTGTGATTTGTAAGAGGTTTAGGGTGAAGAGTATACAGATTAAGGTCTAGGAACACTTGTATTGCATATGTTATACCTTCTTCTTGCTTCTCAATCCACCTCTCATCATAATACATGTTCTTTGCTGCGAATGGCATTGGATGCCGCGGAAGCTTAGTTTTGGGGGTTTTAACTAGCTGCAATTTTCTTTGAGCAACTCCCTTGGCTGCAACTTTCAATTTTACTGTAGTTTTTGGCTTCTTTTTCAATGGTCCTGTCAAAAAATATGTTTAAATGGTATTGAATGTAATAATAGTTTGGAAATGTTTGAAGCTCCAATCGATCTGGTAATTAACAACAACCAAATCCTTATGAAGATGCAACAAAATAATTTCATTTCTAGTAAAAGAATTCTATGTTTGATTTCTGCACTCCCTCCCTCCCTTAACAAATTAATCATATGCTGTGGGTGGGTTTATGTTAGAAGTTTCCTAATATTTAAACTTTAGTCACCTGAGATGGGAGAAATTTTCTTTGGTACTGCTGTTTTCTTTGTTTTTCCACTGACTGGCTTTGTTGCAGGTTTTGTAAGCTTTGAAGTAAATATACTTGGAGAAGTCTTGCAGAGTGGTCCAAGTTTTTCATTGTTTGTGACACTATATGTATCACGTCGCTCATTCTCTTCTGGCAAATTTTCCACAGGTGCATTCTCATAATCAATGTTTTCACCATCAAGTTTGCGAATGACTGTTACCCTTTTTTCCTTTGAATCATGAGTATTTGGAACTTGGCTTGGCTGAAGGATAGCTCTGGCAACTCTCTAAAATTACAATTGATAAAAGATATAAACTTGTTACTTGAGATATCTCATTGAGCCTTCACATGGACAACTTGTGCTAGGATCTTATTCAGGGGGGGAAGGGAACAATGAAACAAGTCAAGGAGCTAAGAACCTTAAAAAACCTGCCAACAGATTGAATTTTGACAACTTCCAATTGATTGTGGTAGTTTTCTTTTACTTCACTCTGTGAATGGTCAAGAACTTTGCCACGCCATACTATTGACTCATCAGATGCTAAACCAATGCTAATTGCTTGGTTTCCTCACATCAGGCAACTTATTTGTTTTCACATTGAGGTCTAGTTGGGTTCTTGTGACATTATCCTTTGTTCCTATTCCCTAAGTTTTGAGAACTTGGTTACATGTAATATTGAGTCTACAGTCAAAATCTAGTCTGTGCTCACACACGCTTCCACGTGTTTATGCAGCAATTAGGTGTTACATGTCAAAAGAAAGTTAGATTTAAATGGTTTGATGGCTGCATGGCCTTAGCTGTAGGAATTCAATCTTTCTTTTACAGGTATGTTGAGGAATGTGATTCAAAATGATCAGAGTACTGATCCTAGCTCTATCCAAGATGCTTATCGCGTATGAATATCGTATCAGGCCTAATTTTTTCAGTCTTCCTGTAATATAGTAAATATGTACAGAATGTAACCAGTTCTCAGCACTCTCTTTACTTTCTTCCTTATCATTTCCTATCCGTAATTAAATAATCCCGATCTAGTCGTTTCCAATTACCTTGCTCTCTTGAGGTTTTCTGCTGATCTTTTTTGGTCCGGATTTCTTGACGATCTTTTTAGTTGCTGATTTTATCTTCTTTGGACCCAAAGCTGTCCCAAACACTACTACTTGCAGTCGAGGAGAATTATGCCACTTGAATAGGATTACCTCGCGACAGTTTCCACTTTCCTTTGGCTCCCATTTTATCGACAAAAATGTTTCTTCATTTGGTGGGATCGATAAACAGTTTCCCTCAGAATCCTCGGCCATGCCATTTCCATTCAGATCTAGAGTAAAACCTTTGTCCTTTGGAAATTTCTCTAAGACCAAACTTTGGCTCGATGGATGTGGATTTTGTACCACGAACGGCTCTGTTTTGCTGCTTCCGACTTTCACAGTTCCAAAGGATATCTTAGGAACCGCGGCAAAGTGGGTCAATTTTAGAGTCGGTGGATCAGGTTCAGGAGAAAGAGGTAATTTAGGAAAATTCTTGCACGGACTGTACCATTGAGCACGTTTCGAATCAACTTTGTTGACCAGCAACTGTGGGTAGTTTTCTTGGACGGGTGTTAGACTCGGATCCATCATGTTGTTAATAAAAAGGCTGCAAAGATCGCCGATAGAAAATGCTACAAGGAAGTTCTTGTTTCAATCTAAATATTTTGTCACAGAGAACGCTTTCTTTAACCCAAAATGTTGGCTACATTTCGAAGACAAAAACTTTTACGATCACATATGTTGACAACTGTACTGGAATCGATCGAACCTCAATTGAAAATACCCGGCGTGCAAAATTAACCAATCACAAATTTTCTTTCATCCACAACAAACCAATCAGAGACATCAACAACTAACGGCTCTTGTTCTCTGTTCCAGTCCTTCCTCCTTGGAGAGCTCCCCTGTACATAGGTTGTACCTCGGCCGGCAGAGTTCGAAGGTAAAATGATTTCAAATTTCCTAGATGCTGGTTGTAAGGATTCATTGATCTTCTTCGTCCGTTAAACTCTACAGGTGCTCTGAATTGAGAAGTCCAGTTGTTTTTTTGTTTTTTTTTTTATGTTCCATTAGGATGAATAAAATCATAATTACTTTTATATAACTTGTACACGAGTACATGTTGTGTCACATCATCTTTTTTATGAAAAGTATCTTTGAAATAAAAAATCAGGACCAAAGAAATAAGTATATTTTAAGAGCTTGAACTGATTATATGTGAGTTGAACTATCGCTTCTTCGGCTAAAATTTTACACATTTTCCCCGCCGTAAAGGTAACTGGGGTAATTTCGTTCGTCGCAACACGTTCGAGTATTTTGTCAGCTTTGTGAAGCCATAGAGTTTGTCGGATGTAACATATTATTACCGACTATAGCGTATTCATAAATCAACTGACTCCTCTCATTTCTCTAATTCAACTGTCTTTTATTCAATAATCAAAAAAGTATATTGAGGCAAAAGGCCATGAAAGTTTTACTTCTATAGAATATGAAAGATTTGTTAATATCATGATTCTCATTTTCCCCAATTGTAAGGGCTTCTTAATTTAACTCACACATGGATTTATCGGACCTTCAATGATCCATATTTGTTGCAAGTTCCCTCACAAAGTCTCATATTGACTATCATAAGCGCGATGGTCCCGTCCACGAGGAAGAAACTTGTGACACTCGAAGTAGAATGGAAAACTGAGTAAGAAGGGATGAAATGAAGACGACGTGTGCTTGTAACGCTATTTTGGCGAAGAGATTCGTGCGATATCGGTTTTCGCGTGCAAATTAAGGCGGAATTCCCGAGTCAGTCAATTAATTTTCCTATATAACCTAAAATACACACTTGGCATAAGCACTTTTTTTATTCAATTTTCAGATTATCGATATAACATTGGCTGACTCACGAATAGCCATAGCTAGTCTAAGGCGGGTGAGTAACTACCCGGTAAGATTGAGATAACTAACTTACTATCCTGTCATCCAAGTTGACTGGCTAGACTAAATTGGCAAATACTTACAATGGAGCACTAAAATTTTACTATCAGTAACCTAAAGTCATAATAGTTCAGAAATCATGAGCTACGATGAGAAATTACTTTCTTTATTGACCTTCTTTTCGGCTCGAACAGCGGCTTCAAACAGCGCCACAGAGACACCAATTAGAAGGATCAATCGCTACCCGGAACCCTCTTGCTCACCGAGTTGTTCAAAACCCAGTCAGTCCCAGCAAGAAAATTATGCCCAACGACGAGCTGAAAACCGACTTCAAAGCGCGAAGCCGAGATTGACACTACTTACAATCGATCTGAGTGGCATGGAAATTTTCATAGGAGGCGAAAATTAACAATATTGTGACTTATCTTTACACTTACTTTCCCTCGAACGGAAAACTCTAGGTTGAGGTTTGTCTTCGACCAACAATCGAGGCAAATTCAGAGCCACGTTGTTTTTAGTATTTTCTTGCATGCATTTCATTTGATTTCCATCAGTTTCAATTAATCAAAGTTCACTATCCATCCTTTGAAACGACCAAACTGTTATTTTCAGCTAGCTACGGCTGATCTTCAGGTTGTCGATCGGGATTTATGTCTTGAGGGTATTATAATCAAAATTAAAGGCGGCCCAATCGCTCCTTCTGTATAGAGTTATTAGCTTTACTGAGGGCGTCAGTCACTTTAGCATTATGTTTAATGTGTTCATCACGGATCAAAAATTCAACAACGTTCTGATTGAATCCTTCTTGGAAGAAATAGAGAAAGGGCTGTTTGGCGGCCACCTCTTGCCGAGTGACACGTCAATCTTCTCTTCACCTCCACGACTATACTCAGAAATTAAAAATCTGAAGTGGTCGAGCGAGTTCGATTATAGATCTTTCCATGATTCGTTCCTGTAAAAACCCACCTTTTCCATCTATTCTCTCTGGTATTTCCCCTATAAGGAACTAAACAGTTAAACGAACCATAAAGGTTTTTTTTAGCCTACTCTATTACTACGTTTTTATGACAAAAGTCAGGATTATTCAACAAACAAAAAAGAGATCCGAGACAGTTTGTCAAAAATTGCACGAATCTTCAGTTGAAAACACTGAACCTAAATAGACTCCATTATTCCTTGGTGAAATCTCTTTGTTTCCGTTGTAGGCTTTTTTGTGATCCAAAACCCTTAGTATCGATCTGAGATTTTTACTTGCGCCGTGTAACCGATAAGCGCTGAAATTCCCGTTTAAACGCATCGCTGAGTCCTTTTTGAGACACAGCCGCTATCGCAGAACATAGCAACCAAGTAAAAATAATCATTTGTATCTTTTGACTCCCATCTATTTTCGGCTCGATTACCGGTCGCTGAGGCCTGAAAACGGCAGAAATCAAATCTTTTCTTGTTCTAGATAGAAATGTATTCTTTACATTTTGTAAAGTATCATATAATCCTTCCGCATGTCTAACACATGTCTAACTTATATGTAAATTTGAAAAGCACAACACTGTTTATTTGACAACCCTATGAGTTTTGTTTTTTTGACGCGTCAGTTCCCATCTGAAGAACTTTCCGGTTTCTCACTGGTGTAAAATCGTCGATCTCGGCTAAAAACTGGCCTTTGCTTCACTTTCTGAAAAGGGAAATGTATGTTTTCAACTGCTTGAAAATGAACGAAATAACTTGACCTCTTGAATCATTTACACTATATCGAGTTTACTTGGCGGTTGTACAGGAACCCAAAGCTAAATTTACTGAGTTTAACAAGCTAATATTGTCAATATTCAGCTACATGACAGAGTTAAGGAAATAGAGTTGTCCTTAACTAATATTTCTGTCGCACTCAGACATCTCAAACTATAGCAGACATCTATAGGGACTTCCGCATTTTCTTCGTACACTTGAGATATGCATTTGATCTCAAATAATGTCGTGCTTTTTCTGAGATAGGACAAGTTTGTGGCTTTAGTCAGAGGAAGTAAGGGAATTCACTCCAAAATGATCTCATTTGTGTTTCCTGCTCTAAGGGCAACTACGCCTGAGTGAATCAGGGGCTCTTTGTTCATTCCAGCTCGTAGGTATGGCAAAAAATAAACAATGAATAAACTGATATAAATATCAGTGGAGTGGACACTGATACAAAATTCATATTTCAAGTGAAAGAGGAATGGGGACATTTCAAGACTTATCGTGAACATGAGCCAAAAAACTACACTCAAGATCATCCTCGACGACACTTCAATATCACTGATCTGGTTAGTCCAGACATTTTGTATCGCATGAAGTCGCATCATTTTTTTCTCTAATCTCCGGTTTCTTTTTTTTCGAAAGAAAATAAAGCAAAGATTTGACGGAACATCAAAGTAGAGCTCGATGGAAATCATGATAGGCAATGGTGTCGAGGTTGAATTATTTTCGACTACTCTGATGAGTTATTATAGTGTGATTTTAAATGTGGAAGAATTCATTGAGGGTCGCTCTGTCCTCGCTCAGGTGCATTTTTCTCTGCGGCATATGAGGCATGCAGTTTGACTAAAGACTACTAAGCGATTTCAGTTTCCTATCAAGTTATAGTGTTTTCCACTTCAATTAACCTTGTAATTAACAGGAGAAGACAAGACTCAGGAAACATTTGGTCAGTTACATAAGCAAGCGTCCGTAAATCGCCTTACTTCATTATTCTTGCTTTTTTTTTTTTTGAAGCAAATATTTCAAGAGCAAAAATAAACCATGAAAGACTACGTGCTAAGATCATTCATGATTCCGATATTTAAGGACGAAGATGACTCTCTACCGGAAAACTATCGACCTATTTCACTGCTCTCGATTTATAACAGAATTTTTGAAAAACTTATGTACTCTAGACTTATCAAATTTGTCAAAGATTGCAACATTCTCTTTGATCAACAATACGCTTTTCGCAGTAAGCACAGTACTCGGCATCCTATACTCGATATCGTTAACACAATTCTCCAAAATATGGACAACGGTAAATTTTCGTTCGGCGTCTTCATCGATCTCAAGAAGGCTTTTGATACTGTTAATCATGAGATTTAGTTTGCTAAACTTGAAAATTATGGTGTTAGAGGTGTAATCAACTCCTGGTTTAGATCATACTTAACTGATGGAAAGCAAAATACGCAAGTTAATAGTGTTGTGTCCGACGCTCAGACGACATTCTGCGGCGTACCGCAAGGCTCAGTCCTCGGACCTCTCTTGTTCCTTCTGTATATCTATGATATTTACAAGTTCTCTTCGTTAGTTAACTTTTATCTATTTCCTGACGATACCAGTATAATATCTGCAAATAGCAACTTAAAGGAACTCGAATCAGACTCTTGTTAATCGCGAACTTGGCAACGTCAACGACTGGCTTAAGGCCAATAAACTATCTCTGAACATAAAAAAATCAAACTTTGTAATAAGTCGTCCCCGACAAAAAAAAATATGCCTTTTATACTAAGGATTAGAATTTTTGACTCTGTGACTTATACCTATGCAAACCTTGAAATGAAAGACTAGGTAAAATATCTCGGCTTAATGATTGATTCAAACCTTTCATGGAAATATCATATAGAATCTATCTGCCACAAAATTAGCAAGTCAATAGGAATTATTACCAAGATTCGACATTATGTCCCGCGTCGTGTCTTACTTTCAGTTAACAATTCACTAATTGTCCCTTATTTAACTTATGGTATTTGTGCTTGAGGAATTTGTGCCGTGACATTTCAAAAAAATATCGTAATTCTTCAAAAACGGGCCTTACGTCTTATTTACTTCGGTAAGTCTAAGGAGAACACCGTAGCCTTCTTTCTCAAATTGAATTGTCTTCCCCAACCTAGCCTATTTTTCAGAGATTGTAGCTATTTATTTTATGATATCAACAGACAGACAGCACCAGTTAGTATACTCAATCAGTTTGTTAAAACAAGTCAGATTCATAACTACAGAACAAGATCAGTCTCTAGTGACTCTTATTTTGTCAAATTCTCTGGGAAAGATAAAATGTATGCTTCTTTCTCCGACGAGAATTGGTGCCCAAATTTGGAACTCTATCTCCTATATTCGATTAAACAACTCAAACGTTCGTCTTTTCGTAAAAAGATAAAGGAGTTACTACTAAATTTTTTACGATCAGAAGATGATTATGTCGAAGTCTCCCGTCTTATTAAGTTATTTAATACTTTAGGTTAGCCTCTTCTTGTAATCTTAATATACTTGCTCTGTTTTACAGGGCCGTAGCTAGCATGAGACAAGACGAGGCAATTGCCTCGTCTTAATTTTGGCCTTTTTATTTTTTTCTTAAAGATTGACTTTTCTGGAGAAAAATGCCACGGAAAATCCTTAAAAGAGCGTTTCTAAACCTCTAGATTTCAAAGTTTTCTGGGGGGCATGCCCCCAGACCCCTCTAGCGGCTCGCGCCTTCGGCGCTCGAAACTTGCCTCGTCTTGGCCTGAAAACAGGGCTACAGCCCTGTTTTATCCTTATTCTATTTACTGCATAGTAGTGTTTTCATTGTTAGTCCATCTATAGATAAATCCTGTACTTGTGAACTATCCTTAGGCTCCCCGCCTCGATTAGTTCATATGCTATTTGCGGGGAGAAACCAATGTACTTAGCTACTTAGCTACTTACCTAGATATTTTTCAAACAAGTAGACGATCATGTTTGTCCTTTAGAATAATCAAAGTGTAACTTCCTCTGAAATGCTTCGAAATGCTGTTCGCTGCTCACGAGATGATAAACTATCCTTTCTTACGTTGTTATAAGTCGTCGCAGCTATAAACTTAGTACGCTCAGGAACTAAAAGACTGCAATACTCCCACGTTTGGATCGGCGAGCAGTATACACGCAAACTTTTTGTCCGCTTTCTTCATTCTTTGCGGTCAGTCGAAGGCTTATATCGGTTTTGCGGGACCGCACAACTTTCAAAAGAATTTCCATGGCCTAAAATAGTATTTTAGTCGAGGATCTCAGTCGAAAGGTAACTAGAATTTCTTGTGAGTGACGAAAGTCTGTGTATGATCGCTGCCATTTGAACTGAGATTTTGAAATCAGTAAAGCTGATATTACGCAAAGACGAACGCAAAGCAGAGTATTACAACCCAGTCTACGCCGCTGCAACATTTTCATGTCATTCGTGGCACATTGAAATGATGGGAGTGAAGCGATTGATATAATAACAAACTGTATGCCTGAAATTATCAACAGAGCTCGTTGTCTGATTTGAAGTCGAAAATCAAAGCCGAACGCGCAGAGAATCGGCCTCAGTAACTCGATTGGATTTGAAATTCAGGTGGAAATCAAGGACAAAATAAAAGAAGACATTCAACGTGATGGATTTTTTCGCTTCTTCTTTCTTTTTGTCATGTTTTTTTTTTCTTCTTCTTTCATTCGGCCTCTCATATTTAGCCTTCTATTACATCTAGACGTAAGTTGCCGGCAGCCAAAATTTTGGAAAATTTCCGAGCAGACGTTTTGTGTTTACTCGACAAAAAAAATGCGAATCTTTCGCCTCCATGATCTTGTTCAAACTTGTTCATTTAAGTGTATATAAGTCTGTGAACACCGTACCCTAACTCATTCAGATTGTTCCATCGATCATTTGAAGACACTGAGAGTGAGATCAGCTTCAGCAAGAGTTCACCGTATTTTCCATCTCCTTCAGTTATCAACTCACAAGGACCGAAATGAGGATTCACGCGATTCTTCCACTTTGTGTCGTGCTTTTATCTACCGCTGGATGTGTTTCAGGTATACAAAGCAGTTAGTCCGACAGTTAGAAAGAAAGAAAATTCTCCGATTTCAGAACATTTCAGATTTATCAAAACTTATGCGCCCATTGTTAGTCGTATTAGCCCACTGTTAATTTTATCTAAATTATGACTACGAAAATGTGAGTAGCTGAACTATCATCGCGCCAAAATAATTGAACTAAAATAATTGAATTTATTTTCCAGCGCATTGCTCTTGGGGATGGAAGCAACTCGACAGCTTTTGCTATTATGCGAGCAGCTCATCAATGACTTGGCACCAGGCCCAACAATTCTGCCGAAGAATGGGAGGAGACCTAGTAAAGATTACCAGTGCGCGGGAAAACGAGTTCGTTCTGGCTCTCGCGAGGAGGTTTGCACCAACAAGGAAACAAGTGTGGATCGGCCTGATGTGGACCGCTAACGACTTCTACTGGAGTGATTACTCAGTACCAGTCTACAAGGCCTGGGCTCCCAATGAGCCAAATGGAAAATCCCGGGAACCCTGCAGCAACATGTGGACTGGGCACACATCCTCTCTGCCGATCAGAGCAAACGGTTACTGGAATGACCTGCC